AGAAACCCTTATTCACCAAAGGACAACTTGATATGCTCAGCCGTTCTAAGGATAGCCTAGACCAACTTTCTCGTGGAACACGCCTATTGACTGACAACAATATTTATACGTGATTTTAAGATGCTATTGCTGTAATCACTGAAAGATTTCATTCACAATTGTTTATGAATACAATGATTGAAACATGTGAATCTTCCTATTTTAGATTCACATTATTTTACTATTGAAAGTCTTACTAATATGACAAATATAGACTTTCCTATATTTACACATTATTTCTATTTTTACAGTCCGGAAACAAAGTAAAATCTTATTCCATTTACTTTAGTTTTATCTTATTTTCCCCTTCATATTTGTCTATTAATCTAAAGTAATAATCAAATTTTTATGGCGTATTACATGTCAAATAAAAAGAAAAAAAAGGAACGAGTACATCATAAAAAAGAATCGATCTACACAAAAACAAAAATCATAACTACAAAAGAAAACTCTCATTTTTTAAATGAATGAATAAAATTCTATATAATTTCATAAAATATTCACATGATAAATAACTTGAAAAATGTAACAATAATAAAAACTACCATTGAGTTCTTCACGGGTACATTAAAACTTCGAATAAAACCAAAAAGAAAAGAAAATATCCTTATATAATACAACAAGAATGATCAAATAAAATTTCTTATTGACAATAAAATATGAAAAATAGTCAATAATAACTCGTTAAAATTAATATTATACATTAATTTCGTAAATACACAAGAAAAAACAAACGTATTTTGAATTTAATTGTCACCAAAAAGACAATAAAGAAAAATATAAGAAAAGAAAAGAAAAAGACTATCACACAATTTTTAAATCTTTCGTATGTTTTTAACAAGACTATAGAATAAGATAGAATTCATTTACATATAGGAGAATATTCAATTAATTTGTTTTTCATGTTATGGTTTTTATAAAACCAGATAATTTTTCAAATAGCACCATATCATTAAATGATAGATTTTGTTAACATGAATATTTTGATGAAAGTATATTAAGAAGTAATATATGAGGTAAAAATGAATTAAGTTCTGGTCGAAGATTTGAATGTATAAGGCGAATATCACCTGTCCATTCATGACATAATGATGTTAACATTGAACGTTGAATATTTCCACATGCTGGTGATTCATCAAGTAATTGTTCAAATTGATTAGTAGATCGTTGACTAGAAGAATCTAATGATGATGAGGAGGATAGAACAACAATTGATGATGAATGAGTAAATTTCACAAGAAGTAAATAGGCATCTGATGAAAGAATTGACGAACGTAATTGAATTGAAGATGATGATGATGATATTTTTGGTAGAAGAATAAAATCATCTGGTGAACCAAATTCAAGAAAATATTTGATTTGTCGTTTACGTGGTGGAAGTGAAGATGACGGAAGAAGATCTTTTGTTAATACAAGACAATTCTTCGATTCCATTGGAAGATTCATTTCTGGAGAACTAAACAGAAAAAAGTATTCGTCATATAAAAAACAATCTTTTCTTTGTTTTACTTTATTTGATCATTAAATTGAATTTGTTGATTGTCGGAATTCATATTTGATAATGTTGAATACGTTTGTTCATTTGTTGAAATTTTTTTCATTATTATTCGTTTTGTTTTTGTTTCAGATGATGATGATAAATCATTTGTTTTTATTTGATTTTTTTCTTTTCTCATTTGTATTATTAAATCTCTACATTGTGCAAATTGTGGTGAATTACGTAAACAATATGGATAATTTGAATCTTTTAAAAATCTTTGGATACTTAAATAATACGAACGAAGTGTTTCAGGATCATATTTTGAACCTTTACGTGTTCGTATTGATGTTAAATAATGTATTAAATATGTACGCATGGTATCCGGATCAATGTCAATCAATGTCAATGATGATATATCATAATTACGTTTTAAAAACTTACGAAAACGACGAACATCTTGACGAGTTTTTAATTTTGTATTTCCCATTGTTCGACGTAATGGTCCATGCATATCATTATATAATGAAGAACCGAACTAAAATAAAATCAATATTTTTTCAGTAATCGATACACTTATTTTTCAGAAAGATTCTTCAATATAAAATATATTGTATACTTTGAAAATAATCTTTTTCAAAATAATATAGGAGATTATTCAGAAAATATGTATTCAACGAAGATCTTCTATTGATATACAATTTATTTCAAATTCTGTTATTTTATGAAACATGATCTTAAATAAATATTGAAGTGTTTGAGCGTAAAAATTTGCAACCACTGCCTCTCGTCCTCTCCACAGATCATGTGACCGACAGATTCGATGACCTCTGATAGACAGAGGTCAAAGTTCATTATAAAGCATGACATTCAACTTCAAGGTATTATCACGTCTAGTTAAAATATTTATGCTCTCAGGTGAAGAACAATGCCAAAGTATACTTCAATGCACATCTTTTAGTGGATTATCAACAATCAGTATATCGTGTTCCATATTTCAATCGGATAGTATAATACATGATTTGTGAATAGATAGTAAAAGTATCTTTTTCTAATGGTATGTCATTTATAAAGAATACGATTTCAATAACATATATTTTACTAGTTTTTTTTTTGTATATCAATTCATCATAATTCTTTACTTTAGAAAAACGTTCTCAAATAAACTCTATGAAAATTATAAATAAAAAAACATCATTTTATTTCTTATTATTAAACATAAAAAAAATATAGACGAATTTTCTTCTCGAATATGCATATTTTTCATTCATTAAAATTCCAGACATCATACTTGAAGAAAAAAATTTGAGAAGTAGTTTATTTATAGACATTCGTTTTTTTTTTACAATAAAAAAACAGACATTTCGACAATTAAATAAACGATTTTTACTCTAGAGTAGCAAAAAGGTATTTTTGATCGTTTTATCGTTTGTTTTTTAATTAAGAGTAAAACTCACCGGTTTTAATATTAGCGCCATATTTGAGTATCTTGCAATTAACTTGGGTTAAAACATGTATGAAATTTTCTTTTTTTTTACTCTTTTTTTCTTTTATAAGTAAGACTAACTGACTGTCTCTTTGCGGTGAACTCAAAAAAAAAAGGTATTTATATAAACATTTTTTTTTTCTCTCTGACGCACTCATTTTTCTCTTTCTCTCTCTATTTCTTCTATGGGAACTGACATACTTGTTGTTTTTTTTTCTGTTTTTACGTATTTATATATATATATATATATTAAACCTTCAACCAATGGTTATTATTAATAATTATCCATTGATTAAATACTAAGAGTTAAGAACGAATATTTACATGTTATTAATATCGATTATGTATGTGTATAAGAGATTAAAAATGATTTTAATCATATTTATCTAAATAGTTTTATTGTCTGATATAAAATAAATATATATATATATATATATATGCAGTTTTTTTATACATTTACGTAGAAAAACTAACGAATAAGATAGTAATCTTTTATTTTCAATGACTCATTAATAAAAAGAAAAGAAAAAGAATATTACTAGTGACAAGATAAATGTAGTTCATCATGATCTTATTTTCTATCTTTAACCGAAAATTCATTTTTATTAACATGTGTAATATACTATTCGTTGAGAATATCTAATCAGATTATTTTTAGAACACAATAATTGTCTAAAAGAAAAAGATTGTCACTTAATGTTGATTTGAATTTGACAAAGAATAATAATACTATTATGATAAGGATTAATTTAATTCTTATCAGAAAATATTTTGACCTTCTTTTTAATTCAACAATGATTCATTTCTTTTTCTCTATGTAATTGTAATATATCCATTATTTGATCTTAATGATAATTTACGAGTCATAAATTCATTTTATCAGTACGATTATCAAACGTAAACAATTATAAAAGGAAAGAGTTTAGATTATCATACTATGAAAGATCTGTTCTATTTTTAGTAAAGAAAAATTTTATTTACTAATGATAAGAGTATAGATATATTTATAAATATAAAAAGATAGTAACAAAATTTTACCTCATCATCTTTAATTGTACTTGAATTTGTTGGTAAAGATGATGTTGATGTTGAACAAATAATTGCATGATTAGAAGTTTGTTCAATATTAGTTTTTGATGATGATAGTTTGAATTTATTCTTTGATTGAAATAATAATAATGATGATGATTCATCTGTTGAATCTTTACTTGTTGATGATGATGATGGTGGAGTTTCTATTGTATAAAAATCTGTTATATCCATAAGTTTATTTCGTATCTATATATATATATTTAAGTACTTTCATTCATTTTCGACTAACGTATCAGTTATGGACACGCATCAAAAGTTAAGAGTATATAAAAATAACTTTTAACGATGATGATATAGACGAGTAAAACAGATGATAAAAATAGACAACAAAAGAATGACGACGACGACAACGACTTTTATGCGTGTGTGAGTGTGTGTCTGGTGTGTAATAGTGATAGTAGTTTAGTATGTATGCATTTCTTTTGCTTTTTTCGCGTGCTCGACGAACGGATAGATTGTTGCTGCATACACATACATTATCATTGCAAATATAAAAAAGAAAAAAAAAGGAAAAACAGAACAAAACATCAGACGGAAAGAAACGTAACTAAGAAAAGAAGAAAGGGGGAGAAAGAACATATATTACAGTAGATGAAAAGAACGAAAAAATAAGTTTGCCTTTTTACATTCTGAGTATATCTATTTTGTTCGCGTTATCGACAACGTACTACTTGTTTGCAAATTAAATCAAGGTGTAATGTCATTTTTGCTGCTGAATATGTGTACGATGTTTTCGTTTCTATGAAAGGAGAATATAAAGTTTTATCTTCGTTTTCTTTTATGACCGCTTTATTATATCGTCATAAAATTCTTCATTTTATTATTATTTAATATTTGTTCTATCTTTTTTTTTTTGTTTAGTAGACATACCATAAGTGAATAAAAAATTATTTGTATTCACTTAACAAAACATTTGTATTGATCAACTGTTTACAAGAATATTCTTTTTTCTTTTTATGAGAAATAATCTATAAGTTTGATTAATTGACAATGATAATCTTTTGCTTAATGACAAATGATATCTCATAAGAAAAGACTGTATTTATATTCACGCGATCAAAACAGCTGTCATTAATTCTTTTTCTCTTGAAATAAATCAAGGAAAAAAATCCCGATGATTGACAGAATAGTTAATTTTGTATTTTTTTTAATATTCTATTGAATAAATTTGATATTAAAGAGAGAAGAAAAAAAGAATAAATCGACATAATAATATTTTATGTATATGGTTTCTTCCATTTTTTTTCTTTTTTTCTACTTGTTATTTTTGTATATGTTCGTGTCATTTGAGTAAAAAACTTATGTGCGCAATTGAATAAATATATGGTCGATGACTTCTGTCTTTGAATGTTTTTATTTTTAGACAATAAAATAAAATAGAAAAAGTAAATTAAACAGATATTATTTTTAATTGCATGTTATTTGCGTATTTAGAAGAGAAAACGACATCAAAAAGTACTTTCATTACATTTATTTTATTGATAAAATGTGTAAGATACGATATGATATCTTATAGAAAGTAATTTGATAGTTGTTTTGCTTGAATATAAATGCCAAGTGATATTTTTCTTCCTTGTTTTTATATTGATAAATAACAGAATTTCACTTAGAAGAAACCGACATGTTTAGAAAAAAAAGGAAGTCATGAATTAGTGACGGAAAATTGGTATTCAATACGATTCTCAGAAAGGTCCAAAATATGATAACCATCACCCTCGGACCTCCGTCTGTCAGCTAAAGACATTAACATCTTAAATATAAATAAAATTAATGTTGAGCAATAACAAGAATTTTAAAGGCACAAAAAAAATTGTTTTTTTCTTTCAAAACTTAGACAAAATCGGTTTAAATAGTTTGTACTTGAACTATCTTCTACTGTCAGTACTGTGATAACGGTTTATTCCTTAAATGATTTGATTATTGTTATACTTCTTGCATGACTTCGAATAAATCTATTAGATATATAATAATCGATGAGAAATTATTTCTTTATTCAGTACAAAGAACATTATATGTTTTGTTGATCTTAAATTTGGAGTATCATTAAATTTTAATGTAAACTTTAAAAAAAAACTTATTCTTGAGTATTTGACGTCATTCGATGAAATACTTCAAATTCCATATTAGAGTTTTTTTTAAACTTAAGTTAACTTCCAAAGGTTACGATTACCTTTACACACAAATAAACAAGATTTTCTTTGAGAAGACATAACTAATACAAGTACCACATAGGTTAAAACTTCGCAATCCTACATGTGAGATGGCTGTACTTTTAGTTGAAAAATCGATTCAAAAAACAATAAACATATGAAACTCTTTAGACATTCTAGTAAAACTAATTATTTCTTTTTAAAATTGTCCTGCAATTTAAGAACTTTCCACTCGTCTATCATTATTTCTCGTAGAATTTCCAAGAATATTTTATATTTATTAATATTAAATCATAAATGAAAAAAATAAAATTCAGCTGGTATTTCAAACAACACAGCGACTATATCATATAAATTTCTAATCCATGCTTATCTTCTATCTATAAAATTTTGTGGAATTTGTAAAAAACATGGTTGAATAGGTACCATTTGATAAACATGAAAATATTGCATTTGAACTAAAATTGTTGATGGTATTTGACTGATATTATTACTTATCAATGGACATATATTTGAATGTGTAGTATCTGGCAGTTTTGTTCGGGGCTGAAAATGAGTTTTATATGAAATAGTTCGAGAACTTTTTGTCGCTGGATTTGTCTGTGGTACACTTTCAAAAATTTGTTTGATTTTATCATAATTAAATTGATATTCACTCTCCATCATTTATTATTTTTAGCTAGAATAATGAAATACATACGTATATATATATGCCTTTATATATAACGGCGATATCTCGATTGGACGTTAATAAAATTAGACTATTTAATATGACGTCTGTTATGTACATATATCAGTTCATTTTATTGATTTCTTTGTCTGTTTGACATTATTAGTCAAAAAATAGATGATTGAATTTTATATGATTGTTTTTCTTTTAGTTTTATAGAATTAGTAATTTGAAAAAGAGAAAGAGAAAGAGAAATTTTTATTTTACAGAAATAACGGATGGATGAAGTAACAACAACGACAATAGAATTTCAAAAAGATTCTAATGAAAATGAATTGACTAATCTTTTGGAAATAATTATTAAGAAACAGAATATTGGCTTAGAAGAACATCAACATCAAACTTATCAATATCATTTATTTAATAATCAAATTAAACGTAATAATTATTATGAAGATTTAATTAAAATTAAAGATCGATTAGACAAAACTACACCAGATATACAACATGTTATTCATAGAGATATAAAAAGGATGAATACAAATAAAATTTATGAACGACAATTGATACATATTTTAAATGGACCAAGAGGTTTAAATTGGCAACACAAGTAAATAGATTTACTTTATTAATTACATTAGAATTTTAAATCTTTAGGCAACAATTAAAACGTCTGAAAAGTGATGAATGTGATATTGAACGTGATTTAATACGTCTTAATCGTGATCTTCGAAAAATTTCTGTCTCAACTTTATCGGATGAAATCTTATCACCGCGTCAAAATCAAGATTTTTATTCAACGCAAACATCACAAGAAAACAAACGTTCATTATTAAAAAGTACAAATCAAGTAACGGTTCCTTTTTCTATTCCAATCAATCAAAAACAATCATCATTAAATAATAAAACGTCTCCTTGGAAACATAAACAAATAATTTCAAAATCTCATCAAAATCATTCTTATCGTCAAAAACATAGAGTTGAACAAAAACCAAAGAAGTTTTTACATTGAATAAAATCTTTGAAAATTGCTTCGTATTTTTCATAAATGTTGTATACATATATATTTGTTTTCTTGAGGGTGTCGATGTGGGTATGGGCATATAAGAAGTAGAAATTCACTCACATCCACACCCTTAATTTAGAATTTGCTTTAAGTTGAAGTAACATTTCACTGAAAAATGGATTAAACATCTCATGTTTCTCAAACAAAACAAAACTTTCATCAATGGTCATTTTTTCTGTTTTAATTTAAAAAAAATTTGAGCAGAAAAATTACAAATGATACATCTTTGATAAAAAGCAAAGAATTAAAGAAACATTCTGTATAATACAATTGATATTCTGTCTTATAGGAAGTGGCAATTTTACATATTCACTACAGTTGAGAAGTAATATTCAGAAAGGCGTTGTTGTTTCCTGAGTTGTGGTAGACTTGAGGTTTGTTTGATAGAAGTATCGTACTATAATAAGTCCAGTGACTATGATGAAAAAGGTAAGAGCAAGTGATATGAAGATATAAGCTCGCATTGTTGATGGTTTTCTCCATTGCCAAGACCATCCTTCTGGACCAGATGCACCATAGCATGGATATCTTTGATCTATCTTTTTAAATTACAAAAAAATTATTGAAGAATTTGTCACATTTATTTCTTACTTCTTTCCTTTTTGCGACACGTAAAGCCCAACTTTCTGGATGATAAGAAGACAATGATGTTATGACCGTGTCACTTGGTTGATTATTATTGCTCTCGTAGTTATCACCATCATCTATAAGAGTTATATTCCAATTTGGCGTGTACAAAGTATTTCTTCCACCTTGCTTAGTAGTCAAGTACGATGATTTAACAAAACAATGACGCATAATATATGTCTTCGCTCGATGCAACTCGCGTCTACCGTATAAGAAAATAAATAAAATCAGGAAATAGGAGGAAACTATAAGAAGTATTAAAACAGGAGGTGTTTCCATAACGCAATGTGTCTTGAATGATGACCAAGTCGATGATTCTGACATTGAAGTTTTGTATAATAAGAATATTGTTCTGATAATATTATGTTCACTAAATCAAACAGTAAAACAACTATCTTTTATGCCTACATACAAACGAAAAAGAAGAAGAAAAGAACTGATTTAGGAAAAACATTGCATTTCATATTATGTTTATTCCTTTTTGAACTATGTTGCATGAAACTGAAAATGTCATTTTTTTTTCTTTCTTTCATGATATATTCTCACCATTTATTTATGTACACTGTGAAGTTTCTTTAAGTGAATATTTCTCTTGTGTGATAGGCATGTTATACCACACATCTAACTATTTTGAGAGCTAACTTTGCTGCTTTTCGATTCTTTCTATATGATCACCATGTCATTCGAAAACGCGAGTGATAGTTTTTTACTTACTTATCTCTGAATTCTTTTTAACTTTTAGAAAATTATTAGATTCTAGTCAAAATTATGCCTCATCATTTTTGTAAGCGCACTGAAGCCATTGATGCCAACTGCATCGAGTATTTGTTAAAGATGGCGCCGCAAAAATAATCATTAGATATAGTATTAACTAATAGAGAAAATTGTAGACTTGCCTTATATAATATGTTGTAACATATTCGAAATAGTAGCGCACCCAGAACCCTTCCGATGGTATGGCTAGCGATCACGTAATATTCGAACGCTGAGTACGCCATTAATTGAAAACTAGTTTTTTAAGTATAAGTCAACGTTTCAAGGACAGATAGTGTAAGTCTTACAGAAAAATCGATAAAAAAGAGATGAAAAATGAGCAACTATTCTGAATCCGTTCTTTTTTCAAGAACTACCGGTAATCGATGATTCTGTTTAAAAAAAAGGCAGCATGAGTAGCATTTCTTAACGGTGTATTTTACTTTTATTGAGCTAAGGTCGTTATTCGACACTTTAAAAAAAAAAATAATAAAATCACAGTTCGATAGAGAAAAATTTTCTCTACCTACTCAGATATCATTCTTATATCTAGCCTTATCTGAAATTCAAAGGACTGACCATAGACCATTTGCTATTGACTGGATGAGTCATTATAGTCTATGAGCACATCCCAAATAGACAAACATGTGATACAATTGGAAATCATTTATAATTAGTTCTTTGATTTTTGAAATGGCTTGATATAGCTGTAGTATTATCAGATGAAGATAACTGTTCTCAATCATACGGTATTTTTGCTCTTCTCAAAAAAGATGCAAATGAACAATAGAGGACACTATCATACTGTGTTGATAGATTGACCGAGGAAATGACCCATATCGTTACTTTTTAGAACAGATCGCCGATAAACTGCCATACTTTTTGATATACATTACACTTTACTATTAATACAGAAGATGAAAGGATTGAAGAAATGTATTCAAGGCAGAGAAACAAGTCTTTGGATAGAGTGTACATAATAACGGATTAAAATTTAATCGATTCTCTATCATTTTCATAGAAACAAAATCGATTTTGCGAAATTTATGGTGAAACATTCATTTTAATCTGATTTTGTCCTTTTATTTCCTCACAGCAGCATATAAATAGCACTATGAATAGAATTCATTTTATACTTCATTCAGTGTACAAAGTAGGTTTCTCGTACATCTTGAATTAAATGCTCATTTCATCTTCTAATGCAAGATGTGGGTGTCTCGATTTCAACACCCATACCTACCTTACCATACTTTCATTATCTGTCCAAAAATGCTTGTTTCCAACGACTCTAAACAAATCCATTTATTTTCACGTCGACGATACAACATTTTCTTTTATTTAGAAGCGATATTAAAATAGATATATAATAAAAAGTAACGGATATTTATTGACATTGAATTCTTTTTTGTTTTAATTTAATGTTTTTTTTTCTAACGTTGTTCTTTACATGGTGGTTGGTTGCATTGGAATAATTTGATTTTGTCGGTGCCAATATAATATTCGATCTTTTATTGTTCGACGAAAGCGACTTGATGACATTAAGAACGTATAGAAGTTTCCCTAAATATAATTCAATATATATATATTACATAATATGACAAAGAAGAAACATACGACATGATACAAATAAGATATAAGATTGACGATTGTAGAGATAAAAGATTCTACCACTACTCGATTAGCATCTTTACTGACTCCACTTGTGACAAAACCGTAAAGATTGTTAATGCCATAAGGAATGATACTAATAAGAACTAGTATTACTTGGATCAAAATCATTTTTGTCAATTGACGATCAGCATGTTGTTCAGCAAGAACAATTGTTTGACGAATATTTCGATAAGTCAACCATCCAAATACAACCAAGATTAGAGTTGGAATAGCACAGAGAAAACCAAGAAGATATGTTGATATATAGATGGAAAATGCTGCATTGGTGGTCACACACGTACTATTAATAGGGGAAATATTGTAAAAGAAAAGCCAAGGAATTCCTTGAAGACACCAAACAATAATAACAACACACACAGTGCGATGGGTCCATTCTATTTTGCTAGCACGACGAAGGTAAGCATTTTGTGACGTAGCTAGAAATTGATCGATTGTAGCCAAACATGAACATGTATAAGAAATTGGAGAAAGAGTACTAATGAAAAAATACCTTGCCTTACACCAAGCTATTGAAATACGAGTTAAATCAATTCCAGACATTCCAGTAACAATACGACTAATAAGAATAATTAGTACGTAAAGAGTCTGGTGTATTGCAGCAACAAGAAAATAGAATGTACAAGGAGCTGTACGATAGGTGCGGACACTTGAAAATATGAAAATATTCATGGTATTACCGACAATACCTGAGAGAAAAAGAATAACACCGATATAAATCGTTAATTGCTGACCAATGTATGATAATGACATGACGAACTTCTTAAGAATGAATAATGTGCGATAATCTAAAATAAGTTTTTCGTAATTTCTAATCACTTGGTATATAGAGAAAAACAGTTCTAGGTCTTTCTAGTGAGATGTTGTTTTGTTAATTTTTGATAATAGTTTCCGTTTAAAATATCTTATGATATCTGCACTTTGAAGAATAAATATGAGGTTTAAAAAGATAAAAAAAAGTTAATTAGAAAAAATGGTGACGTTCTTTTTTCTACAATATCCGTTCACATCACGGATTATAATGAAAACATCTATAGGCTTATCATTACTGCCAGTCAAAATAGACAAACTCCGTATCTATTAGAATAACGGATAGTCCGTTACTACTAGTCGAGATAAACATTGATTTGAAATGAAAAATGTTAACGAATAATTTTGCGAATTTATTCTTTATTGAAAAGTGTCTAAATGTCGAGAAATAAACAAATAAAAAAAAGAAAGAGACACAAAAATCTAGAACAGTAGATAAAATCGATATCGATAGTAAAGAAACATGAAATCTATTGACTTTAAACAGTTTTCAGCTTATTTTATTAGTAGATAGACACTTACATAAAAATAACCTATGAATTGATGTATTTTAATACAAGATAAGCAAAGAAAACAATTACCACGAGATATTAGCTAAACTCACACACTGCACCTTATAAAAAAGCGTCCTTTTTTCTAATTAAGTTTTTGATCTTTAAGCTTTATTTCCTAGGCTGAAAGAATGGTTATATGAAATGAAATAGTTTGTATATGTGTGCTAGGATCAAAAAAATATTCGCACTAAAAATCCAAATTAGGTATAAAACTAATTTTGACGCAAAGCTTTTGTAAGGTATTTTGATATAAAGAACTCGAATATGAGTTCTATTGTTTCAGACAATTCATGGGGATGGAGTGATAAGAATCAATATAAATCGAATTTTTCAAGAAAATGAGTTTTTAAAGGTATTACACTGTTCTCTTTGTTATAGAGAAGAGTTTAGCAAATATAAATTCTTGAAAGTGTGGCTGTGAGTACTGTTTTTATTCCACATTCACACCTACACCCTGGTAAGGGTATTGCTGATGATCCATGGAATCGGAAATAAATATCTTTATTGAGAATTACTTTTTTTTGAAATTTTCTTTCCTTCTGAGTGTTAATACTATATTGAATAAACTTTATTTAATACAAGTCAAATAATTCTTTTCAATGTTGTGAATAACTGTTCGTAACAAACATGATTTCTATATTAATGAAGACACGAAATTTTTATAGTTGATGAGAACAATTTCTAAAATATTTATCACATGATGGTTTATCCATTTTCTAACTACTTTTTTTTTTGTATTTTTCATAGGATAGATTAGGACGATTATAAGCAATGAAATCAATATCACATTTTCACTTATTGATATGTGAACAGAAGCATCTGTTATATTTCAATTAAACTGACTTAAAATGCCATCTGTGTTTTAGAAATAAAAACACACAGTTTTTCATGATATTCTCTTATTCTAAAACTAACTATGACTGAAATTAATATCTACTGCTACGTCGTTTTCATTCTTCTCAGGTAAATCATATTGATTTTTATCACTAAATTTTGTTAACATCCATTGTTTTCATATTTTAGCATTACAGGTTTGATTTTTATTCAATTCTATATATTTGTATGTATTAGTTTATCTCTTTCATAGTACAAGTAAAATCTCAAATATGTAAGAATGCTGCTCAATATGATCGATGCTCGACAAATAGTGCGTGTGGCTGTTTTTCCAGAGTAGGCACTAATGGTGATAGCGGTGTTTGTGGTTTCCTCTGGCCCACATGTTCTTCTCTTGTACCATGTAACACCTCAGATAACTCATGTGCTCAATCCAATACAGTCTGCGTTCAACATCCTCGATGTCATGATCTTCCACTTTGCTATCCAGTTACAATGAGTAAACAAAATATCTGTCCACCAACGATAAGTAAGTGAGCCGAGAACTGATAGATGCAAATAGAAATCTCATCTGTTTTAGATAAGATCAACTCTAAATGGAAACAACATGGAATTACTGTTGCTGGAGGAAATCAATACGGAGATCAATCAAACCAACTCAATACTCCTACTGGGATTTATATCGATGATAATGAAGCCATTTTGATTGCTGATACTGGGAATAATCGTATTGTTGAATGGAAATATAATTCCAACAGTGGTGAAAACATTGCAGGCAGCAATGACGACGGAGATAGACCAGATCGATTGTTTATGCCAACGGACGTAACTGTTGACAAACAAAAAAATGCGATAATCATATGTGATTCTGAGAACGCACGAGTAATGCGGTGGTTCCGTCAAAGTCAAACAAACCCACAAATTCTCATTTCTCATATTGCATGTGGTGGTGTCGCACTAGACAAAGATGGGTCTCTTTATGTTTCTGATAAGAAAAGGTCTGAAGTAAAACGATGGAAACAAGGAGATATAGATGGAACACTAGTTGCAGGTGGCAGTGGTGAGGGAAATCTTCCAAATCAATTGCAGGGACCTAGCAAGATCTTCGTCGATGCAGATTATTCTATTTATGTAGCGGATACTAACAATCATCGTATAACGAAATGGAAAAAAGATGCAAAAGAAGGAATTATTGTTGCTGGCGGAAATGGTCAAGGAGATAGTCTCAATCAATTATTTCATCCTCAAGGACTGATTGTTGATAAACTCGGTCAAATCTTTATTGCAGACACTGTAAATCACCGAGTTATGCGATGGTATGAAGAAGATACAAACGGTTCAATTGTTGTTGGTGGAAATGGTAAAGGAAAAGAACCAAATCAATTACACTATCCCCAAGATCTGTCATTTGATGTTCAAGGAAATCTTTATGTTGCTGATTCTGCTAATCATCGAATTCAAAAATATGAACTATATATTGAATAAAATGAATCAATTGTGAGATAATATATTTCACCTATATAAAAAATAAAATCATTTCATTTTGCATAAAAAATTAATTTCTTTTAGTTTATGAATTATTATTCACAAATGTAAGTTATAATAGTTTCTTGAGGAATTTAAGCAGAATATTTTAATGATAGGATCAAGTTAAAGAGAATGCTAAAAACTTATTTCTATTAGCTATAATACTTATTTTTCTTATTCTATCGTCAAAATAAGGGTATTAGGTAGACCTAATTCCACTTGAAAATATTGTTTTTACGAAGAAGACAGAGAGAGAGCAACGTATTTTATGTTATTGTTTTTCTTTCCAATTTTTTTAATCTTCGTATGCAATCACTGCAATACGTCGATGCTGAGATACATTTTTTCGTGAAAATAAGTACTAAAGAAGAAATACTATACTTTCAACGAGTATTTTTTCTTTTCTTCTCTATCATGCCTTAAATTATTATTCAATAAAATAATTGAAAACAAGAATGCTGCTTTCTAATTTTTGTTTATATACTATTAATAATTATGGAATAGTTCATATAATTAAAGTAAAGTTGTACAAGTATGATAAAAATCGTACAACATTAAAGTGTCATTGATTATCCATATAAATTCACTAGAAAATAAAGGTGGTGTGAGTATTACATCGATATTCCATTCATTCCACACATATACTCACCTACTCTCGACTATTGAATTATAAAATTATAAATAACTCGTATTGTATGGCTTAATACTGCACAGGATTTTAATGTAGACTATCATTTTTGATTATGTTATTTATTTTATGATATTTAATCATTGTTATTTTTTTTAACGAACAAAAACGTTTGTATTGCCTGAGATTGATTTCAATTGAGAGATATTTTTGTTATAGTAGCTACACGCATACCTATTTCATAATGTAGACACACAATGAACAAGCTAAGTCACGTGTTTATACTGATCGACGTTTGTATGTATTGCCCAAGGAAGTTGACTGCGTGCATTTTGCATATCTATGCATTGAATAATGAATGACAAATGAAGAGAGGTTGAATAGGTGCAAATATTATTGATGAAGTACAGAATATAACCAAAAAAAAAAGAAAGTAATCGATGCATATGCAGTTAATATCTACATGACTATTAAGGTAATATCATTTGTCTATTGTTTGCTTAACAACCACTCGATTTTTATCATTCATATCAATATTATTAGAAATAAAAAGAATAATTTATGTCGTCGTTGATCAATCCAAACGTTTTAATAGAAGAACAAACGTAACAATTACTTATAAGATTCATTATTAACTCTGTAATGAATGTATTTTTGTTTTTTTTTCTTGTATAGATCTCGACAGTTCCTATCAATAGTATGAATATTAAGTTTGATTCCATTATATATTTCACCACGTACTCTCGATAGTGCAACAATATACGATAGAGGTAAATTCATTGTATGAATTTCAAATAACTGAAAATTTGTTTAAGTGATATGTAAACCAAACCAAGAACAAGAGCAAATACAGATCTTAACATCGAATCGTATCACTGTTGGAAATCATCGTTCACGAAAAATAAGGTATCTATTTGATTAATGAAGAAAATAATCGATAATTTAATTAATAGAATCAATTGTCCTATTGTGATATTGGGTGCTGGTGCAGGTGGTTCACATAGTGCATATCGATTGGCTTCGTCACATAAGAAACAAATATGTATATTTGATCGAAATAATTATATTGGAGGACGAGCTTATGATCGTGATTATAATGGAAATTCTCCTGGTGCTTATGATACAACTCCAATAACTGCACAAGGTTCTATGCGATTCTATGAAGTTCAATCTGTTATGAAACAATTAGCAATTCCATATACTGAATATGACTATAAAACTACTATAATTAATGCACGTGGAAAATCTTATACATCAATTAATGAAATGTGTTCTTTATCATACATATAAATTGAATTTGTACGAATAATTCTAATGGATTAGATCCACGAGATCAATTATGGGAGAAGTTATTAGAAGAATATCATAAAGCTCCATTAAATTTATATAATTTGGCAACTTTTATGCTTTCTGTCGTTCTGTTATAGGTGATGAAGCTTGTGATTTCTTAAAAGATACATATCGTTTTCGTAGTTGGTTTAAAAATATCAATGCTTACGCATTTATGGAATATTATGATCACGATTCAAAATTAAATGGTCCAATCTATTATCCAAATCAAGGCATGTCACAATTTCCTAAAAGAATGATGTACAATGCTACTACATTCTATGACGCTCGTTTATATCTCAATGAAGAAATCCTTTCAATTGATGATATACCTAATCAAAACTGTTATCCATTTGTAATTGAAACAACTCGATATAGTATTCGTGCTCAACAAATAATAGCAGCAATTGATCCACTTGGTTGGCAAAGTATTACTGGTTCGATTGCAAATGATATAAAATCTAATGAACACTTTCAATCGATTTTACCTATCAAGACAGTAACAATTCAATGTTATTGGCCCCATCGATGGTGGGAAGAAAGTAAAATATATGGATCGGATGTTGATCGAATTTGGACAAGACAAAATTGTATAACTATTGCTGAAATATTTTCTCAACGTCCAGAACAAAGATTTCAAAATGCAACACGAATAGTTTATGATGATGGTCAATGTGTTGAAATGTGGTCAGCATTGATTGCACGATCATCACAAGAAGATTTAATTAATGAAATACTTCGAGGATTACAATCAATATTTACTGATGTTAGTATTCAACGACCAACAAAAATATTTACGAAAATATGGCAAGGTGATTGGCATTTTCAAACTGCAAATAGTCATATTACGAATAGACAAATAGCTAGTTGGGCTTTAAATCCACTACCAAGATTTAATAGAAATCAATTAAGTTTAGTTGGTGAAGCATTTTATTTAAACCGAGCAATTTGGACTGAGGCAGCAGTGAAATCATCATTAATATCGTTAACTTCACAATTTAATTTTAAATTCAATTGTTTTGAAAATGATTCTACTACATCAGGTGGAAGATTTTGGCCTTCGGATTTAATTTAATTTTATTATGTCATACTAAATATATTATCTCGAACATATCGAGAGATAGTAAAATTTTGACGATAAATTAACTATTTTAAGTTTTGAAAAGGACGTTAAATAATGATCCGACACGTCTCATTTTTTTGTTTGAAGTTAATGTAAAATATATTCTATACTATCTCCGCATGAGTAGGTGTGGAAGTGGTATAAAGATAATACCTACATTCACACCCACACCTTGGCAAAGAGTCAGATATTGAGAAAGATAATGAATCCATTTAAATCGCCGATGAGTAATAGACATGATAATACATCTTAGCGAAGAGTACAAATGATCAACACGAAATAACTTGATTTTGCCTAGATTAATATAGTCATATCCTTATACAGAATCACTGTATTAATTGAATGTGAATGCTTCATATAAACTAGATTTGATAGGTATGAGCATCCTGATTCTAATGCAAGTAAATACACAGTTAGTTCGTATCTCTTTGTTTCATTACAGTAAGATAACAATTTTTATCTCGTTTTCGTTAAAAGTGAGTACTAATGCGTTACATATTAAAAACATCATTTTCATACAAGACGTGAAAAATCTTCGTATACATATTTAAACTAAATTAGCAATGCTTTATTTCAAATTTTTGCAGAAACTACATATATTATAATACTGTCACGTCGCCAGAATCCAAAGAAGGAACGTATATATGTATGTGAGTTCTTTATTAGAATAGACAGAAAGGTGAACCGAGAGAAAGGGTGTGGGTGTAGATCTTCTCTTTCGCTCATCTACACTGCACACCCACACCCACAAAAGAAAAATTACTTAAAGAAAATTTCCGAGTAAATATTCTATTAGAATTTCGTAAATTATCTAAACAAAATAATAATAAATGAAATGAACTTAAATCAATAATTGATTAAGTTAAAAAATATCGACCAATATTAAATAAATATACAATGGTTATTTTAAATAATCAAAAATATCTTCATGGAAGAACAAACCTTTTTGATAAAGGTCGTCTTTTATTACAAATCCAATTTAATTGACGACGATCATTACCATATAATATTTATTCAATTTAAAATAAAGATAAATGATGTTCAGAATATTTAACTTTTTCAAATGATTTTTATGATTATTTAGATAAACAACATGAATATTTATATAAAATATTAGATTTAATTGTTCAACAGTATGATTATTCGACAAACAATTCAATTTAATTCAAACAATTATTCGATTTTAACACAATTAAATATTTATCGATTTGATTTTATGTTTAGTCAAGAAAATTTGTTTAAAATAAGTGAAAAATATTCATTTAAATCAAAATTATGTGAAATTAATGCACGATTTCTATTTAATGGCTATTTTCTACCTGCTGGTTTATATTTAGCTGATTATCAAAATTTGATATGAAAAACAATGTTTATTCTTAAATGCAATGAAGATGGTGATGATATTCATTTATTTCAACAATACTGGACAAAAAAAATATTTTCAATCATGTTTATTTATTGATCTAAAACAATCAAAGATTGAAAAGAATCAATTAATTCATTGAAAAACAAATAATATTATTGAACAATTTATTCTTGAATTGCATCAATATGAACTTTTAGAATTATCTTCCGATATTCTCGAGTTTTTATTAAAAATAATCAAATAAATTATATAAATGATTTACGAACAATATTTATTTTATATGATAAATCTTGATTAGACGAACAAATGTTTAGAGATAATGTGAGATTTTAAAAAGAAATGTAATGATTACAAAAATTCTATTTATAATTTGTAGAGAACTGGTATATCAATGTTCTCATATGATTGAGCTAGTGGATAATATAGCATTTTACTTTTCCATACGTGAACATTGTCAATCCATTCTTCCTAGAAACAAACAAATATGTCAACAAGTATTACTTAATAAATGATTTACTTTTGGTAAATTAATTTGTTTTTCAGGTATAGATTTTTCTTTTTCTTAAGAATCTTTATCAGTTATTGTATCAATAATAGGCGGTTGTTCAGTTAATTTATCAGTATGCTCGACAGCTCCTGCAATTATTGTTTCAGTATTTTCTTTGTCAATAATAGGTTTTTTATCATTTGTTCCTTGTAATGGCTATTGCAGATGGATTAACATGAACAGATAATTTACGACGATAAATAGCATTTAATGATATATAATCATCATAAAACTGAACTAAGTGAGTACGTTCCAAAGATTTTATTTTATTAACTTCAAGTTGAGCTAAATAAATTTTGATGGTATTTTAAAAAAAAAAAAATTTAATTTTTTTTCATAACTTACGTCGATCAAAACAAAACTGATGCTTCCTTATTTCAATCCAAAAGTCATATATTTGATCATGCATTCCCTTTGGAATTTCGACTTTTTTTTACCATATAACCCTCGCGTTGTTTTTTAAATACATCATCAGGCATATTCGAAATATAATCCTATTAAAATAAAAGATTTTATGTAACTTTTTTTAAAGAATTTCTTTGTGAAAATTAATTCGATCGTCAAATATAAAAACATCGGAATAAAATTATCCTTAATAATATCACATTAGGAAGAAATATAACAAAAGATCGATATTAACTTATATTCAGAGCGTAATCAATAAATATTGATTTTTGTGTCAAACAATTAGTATAAAAAAAGCATTAAATATTAGTTAAAAGATACTCCGATCTAAATTCAGTTATATTAGATTTCATACAAAAGTAGACCTAAAAGTATTCGTTAGCTAGTCATATTGTCCACTAAATTAATCAAAGCTACGTCTATTTTAGGCGACCAAAGACAAATAACATTCATTGGTTTAATCAAACAAACCTCAACTAATTCATCTTATAAATAAAAACATTTGGTTCTTTTTTAAATATTACACATATTTGTAAGTGGTTCAGGTCGTGAAACATGCGTTAATACCATATATAATAAGATACCAACCATAAGAAATATTACAGAACTTCTCCTGGATGATATTTAGAATATTTTTCATTATTTAGATTCTACGTACTCTTATTGAATCAATAAATAATTCAATCCGTTGGTTAACATGATCAAGTTTTTTAGCCGATTGTACAATAACTGCAAAACCTTGTACACCACCAAGTGAACGACATGCACCAGAACTAACAACATAACCTAATTGTTCTTTTGTTCTTAACTGATCAAAACAAGGTTCATGAAAAAAATGACAAAATAAATCAAGTAAAGCATTATTTTCAAGTGTTTCTTCAAAACATTGTAAATATATTTCAATAGCATGTAATTTATGACCATCATTAAGCATTGTATATGCATAATTACAACCTAATAATAAAAGTAAATAATATGTTTATAAAATCAAATATATAAAACTAACCTTCTGCTAATATTAATTCACGTTGATTAAACCACATACTGGGAAAAAGTGGTTGATAAAAACGTTTTTCTTGAAATTTTTGTTCAATTAAACTCATATATTCAAGTGCATGCTAGAAAGAAAATTTAAAATAAAAGTTAAATAAAAAACATATATAAGCTTTTTCTATGACAATTAATTGAAAGAATTAAAACTCAAAGTTATGATCTAATCAATAACTAATTTCTTTCGCAAAAAATAAGTATCGTATATTTATCATCGGTAACTCTTCTAGAGATAAATGAGTTTGATATTATATATCTTGCTCTATAGTTTTGCGTAAAAACGATTGAATATTTGAATAAATCGATATTAGTCTCAGTTTCTACTTACATCTTTTGTTAAATTTCCATACATTAATGAATTCGTAAAAAAACGAGTTAACATTCGTGTTATAAATGAATCTAGATCATGTACTGTAATACCTTAAAAAGTAAAGAAAAGTTTTTTAATCTTGCTGTTTTGTTTTTGTTTTTAAACATACCATCAATACAACTAAGTAATTCATCTTTATTCCATTGGTGTTCAGCTATTAAATATGTAACACCATAGTCTGCCATTTCATCAGGATCAGTGCGACGAAAATTTTGTAATGATCGTTTAAGCTATCAGAAGAAATATTCCAATAAATTTTAATCAGTTATTAATTGAATTACTTTTTCTTTTATTATTTCAAATCGTTGAGGGTTAACTTTAATATTCACCATGCGATCAATAATCGTCTCAAGTAATTGTTTGATTTTATGATTAAATCCATATACATTTAACTTAAAAGTGAATATTTATGTCTTTCTTTTGTTTTCTGCTAGAAATCAATATTAATTTACCTCTATACTATAATCGAAATTATATAATTTATAATATAATCCACCAAGTTGGGCTGGATAAACAATTTCAGTTAAAGAATCTTCAACTAGTTCAACATAAAGTCGATTCATATTACAATGTAATGGATCTACACTTCCTAACGGACTGAGATCACAAAATTTAACTTTTAAATAAAATAAGAAATTTCAATCTTACTTTCGTAATTCAAAATAAAGATATGCTTTAGGTAATCTATAAAATGTATCTTCACCATAAAAAAGTCGGCAAAATTCATTTTCCTATAATATAAAAAAGCAAAATATTTCAAAACTATATTTTTTTATTTTACTTTTATTTTTATTGGTAGTTGTGGTCGTGCGGAATGTTCTTTGTTTGAAAATAATTGAAAATCAGTTGGAATAAATTCATTTGGTTTTGGTAAATGAAGGTCAGGATTAAGTTTACGTCTTTCACTACGTTTAACCCGGGTAGTACGAGCCTTCTTCTTTCGCTGTATACGTATACAAGAGAACGGGATAAAATGATCCCGGCTGGTACTACGAGGCTTAATAAGTTTTTCACAGCGTTTAATAAGTTTTTCGGGTATGTGTTCTTGTTTATAATGTGTACCAAACCATTTTTCTTTTTCTGTTGCAATCGACGTAAATTCCTTACTTGCAAGAAATACTCTTAAATAAAATCTGGAATAATTTTATAAATTAAAATATTTTTCTTTAATTACCGCATTTTACTTGGAATTAAATATTCATGAAGTTCTTCAATTATTAAATCTGGACGAAATTTACATGTTTCATAAGGTCCCGAAAGACATTCAGTTAATGGATAATCCTGACGAAAAAAACGAAACAATTAAATATCACAAAACTGTTTATTCAGATTAGTACGTTTAGAAAAGCAGTTTTTCTTTTCTCAGAATATTCGAGCTCTAGAGCTTTCAAGTAAATATTTACTAAGTGAAAGGACAAGACCTGTATTATTTTTTATTTCAAAGACAAATTTGAACAATCTATGTAGTTATAAATAATTGTAAGATAATATTTTCTTTGGAAAATATGTCAGCAAATACAGAAGAGAAGTACTTGTCGGGACATTTTCCGTTACTTGATTCAACACATTTAGTTTTCTTAGAAAACTTCTTCGAAATATACACATCTATGGAAAGTTAACTTTTAATAAACGCTCTTAGTGATCTTTTTATTATCTTATACCAATTATTCATCATTGTTTTCCTTATGTTATCATACAATTAGTTATTTCTAACGATTATGTGAAGGATTTCTCACGTTAATTTCTCGTTTTTTGATATATTATGGATAGTGTATGAAAGATAAGAGAACGAAATTTCTACTCTTTTGCTGTTTATTCTTATCTCTCTATCCTTTTATATAAGAAAGCGGCCGGAGTTTTAGAATGGATCACATGTAATTTGAACAAACTGATACAAAACAGAGCGCGAGCTCGCACAATGAAGTGAACTGTTTAGATGATGATTTTGAATCTTCAAGTTCCAAACAATGCAAAAAAATGTTTTTCTATTGAGTTTCTTGTTAGAATCAAAAGAGACTCGTTGGTATTTATAGAACATAAATTAGATTTCATATCTTTCTATGTTCATAAATGCTGATGAAATTCTTCTAATAAGATCTTTAAGGTAAATCAAAAGCCAAAGAAGAAACAAATTGATTATCAATCAGTTATAAGTACCCTCATTTGACGCGCTAAACTTGAGACAAAATCATTTGCTGGTTCTTTTTCACGAAATTGAAAATGCATTGCTTTTAAATTCTAAATACAAAACAAAAGTATAACATATGCATTTTTTGATTAACATTATCTTACTCTGCATTCATTAAAAATCCATTTTTTTGGCCCTTCTTTTCGTAACATAGCTATATATTGATAAACAATATAAATAATTTCTTCCCATCGACCTAATTTCAAAGAAAAAGTTTTTTTTAATTATTAAATAAAATTATCGATTTTGTTTTACTTAATCCTTCGATTGTTAATGCTAACTTGACCGTAAAAAAATTAAAACCAGGTGCAACATATTTTTCTCCAGATGCCAATTCAGTAGCAAGGCCCAACTTTTTTAAATATGCTAATAATGAACCATCGCCTTCATGTCCAATCAAGTGTGAAAGATATGATTCAGGCTGAATGAAATCCAGATATTGTTCAACTCATGATGATTAAAATAAAATAATAAACTGTTTTATACTTACATTACAATAATATACATCTTTATGATCAGATATAACCCAATGTATCCTTAAATGACGACGTTCTTCAACAGGAACAACGTAACAAATTGTCTTAAAGAAAAAAATATTAAATAAAAAAAAGAAATTTTGAAAATTTATTGAAATAAAAACTAACTTTTCGTGTACTTTCACCATATGGATCCGCAGGATATTTGACTCGTTCTAATTTTTTATTTGGAATATCATTAAAACTTTTCATCACAAACGATTGAAGTTCATCAAGTGATTCTAAATAATTAATTTGATATTAATTTTATTTTTAATAAATTAATCACATACGATTGCCAAGTATAGCTAAGCTCATTCGATTTGATGAATATTCAGCTTTATAAAAATCCAAAAGTACTTGTCGAATATCAATACCACGTTGTTTAGGTGTTGTTCTTAATGATTCACTATTACCACTTCCAAATCGTGAATAGGGATGTTGAGGATCTGATGTCGATTTTGCTAATTGACAAACACGCCGTACATCGTCAGATAACTTTCCTTCATATTCAGAATTAACTGCTTCTATTTCCCGATCGATAGATGAGACAGAAAAAAGTGGTAAAATAAAAAATTGTGCAAGACTAAAATAGGTAAGTCTAATTTGATTAAATAACGAAAACATTAATAAAATTTACGCATCAAGTGCTTCGGGTAATAAACTTGGATTAATATCAAAATAATAATTTGTATGATCATCAGTAGTAAAAGCATTGGAACGGCCACCATTTCTTTCTATCAATTTTGAATATTCATTCTCACCTGGATACTATAAATATTTCATATAATTATTTTCATTAGTAAGAAATGTAAATAAAAATTTACTTTCGAACTACCCATAAAAAGCATATGTTCAAGAAAATGAGCAACACCAGGAACATCTCTTGGATCAGCTAACTTACCGATTGAAACACCAAGTGCAGCAGCTGCTTTATCAATATTTGGATGACTTATCAGTACAACAAGCATCTCATTTGAAAGTTCTAACCCACGATAATTCCATGAGTCACTATCACTTTTTTTTATATTATCAACAACACGAACAATTGTTGAATCTACTGATGCCATTTGTTTTTCAGATTCAATAGCTATGAAATGAAATTTTCAAATGAATAGACAAGTTATATCTCGACGACAAAGATAGTTGCAGATCTAGAAAGAAAATAAAATAGCTAACGAGGAAGAGTCACCAGCTTATACGTCGCTTTTGAGCTGATACTTTGTGCACAAGCAGATCCTGGTGAGACTAGTAAAAACCTAAAAGGATGAGGGCTAATAGACCTTTCTTTCCGAGTTATAGTCGTTTCATCGAAATTTCAGCCTATGTATGAGAGAACCCTCTCTTTGACGTTGTATCGTATTCGAATGACGAACAAAAACATCAAAGAGAAAGAAAAAGAAGCAAAAAATATGATGTGAAAGCATATGAAAATATGACTGTAGCACCTTCCCGGGCAGACAAGAAAAGAAAAATACAGCGTTTCTATGCGTCAAAATATGCACTTTTTACATTTGAAGAAATACTCGTTTCGTCGCATAAAAAGCGCATATTTCAACCCATAGAAATGTCGTCTTTTTCGCTTCTTCTCTAGCTGGGAGCTTCCCACCAACATAAATGTGTGTCCACACACATTCGACAGAGACAAGAGCAAGAAACAACACGAAAAAATGCGCGCTAAACGAAAAGAAAAAAAATTGAGAAGAGAAAGACGCGTAATAAATCAATAACCCTTTAAAAAAAATGCTGCAAACGATATCGATATGTTCAATTGATAAGAAAATGTGAAAACGACGATGAGTTATAACTTCGATGAATTTGATCAGGGGATCAGACAATCAGGAAAATATGAAGACGATAAATAGTATGATTTGATCTGAAATGTCTCGAATAGTTATGTTTGTACGACGAAAAAGAAAACTGTAGCGCAAAAAGAAATTAAAATGTTTGTGTGACGTTCATAGAAGATGCAAAATTGAAAATGAGGACAAGAATGTATTATCGAGACTATTCGAAGCGAAAGATTAGAATTACAGAGATTTTCTGTCAATATTCTATGCGAAGAAGAAGGAAAAAATCATTATCCATATGAAACCGAGTATCAATATACAAATAACGAGTTCGAAGTAGTTGTGAGTAATATTGTTATAATATATATTAAAAGAGATTCCAAATTTCGAAGACTTTCTATTGTCATAATGTGCGTTTTCGACTTTGTGAGATGATGTTGAGAATACATAACTGTAAGTATTCTATCGAAGAATACCCACACGTTAGCGTGAATTTTTTCTTCAGAATAATCGAGACTATGTGTTGACAAATGTACGATTCCGATTTGCATCAGTAGTAATAACAAAAGCAGCGTAAGACAACGAAAAATTATATCAACTACGCACATGAATTGATTAACGAGAAATATGAACTCATATAAAAGGAAAGAAGCAAAGCAAACAACACACAAGGCCATTGCAACGGTTTTAATCAACGTCAAATAAAATGTCTCTTACTTTTCTTACATTACCGATCGAAATTGTCTGCCGAATTCTAAATTACCAGAGTATTCTGACAATGCTATGCTCAATGCGAAGTGTCTGTCAACGATTTGATACAATCATTGATAGGTATCACCGATATCAGGTAAACCTTTTTTTCTAATCACGAATGTCTATCTATCTCATTCATACAGTCCATAGATTTGAGAAGATATTACTGAATAAAATAATCATGAGACATATTGCTTTAGCAACTATTAATCTCCTAAAAAAAAGTCATTTCCAACACTAAAATAACATGAAAGAAATGAGAATATATATATATCGAACTAATCTTTTTTCATTCTTTTCTAAACAATCCACTGCTCTCATAGTATTTTTACACACTCACCGGCAATATTTAAAAGAGAACGAAAAGAAGAAATTGTTTTTACACGTGCATCGGCAATTTTATTCACACATCTTTCATGTTGACACTGATTTGTTGGCAGAGACTGAAGCCTTCGCGGAAATTTCAGATGAAATAAAGCAACCACTTATAATCTGGTGAGTCTTGCATACAGAAAATATCTAATATTCCATTACAGACTACTAGTTTTTTCACTTCCTGTGGACACAGGTTATTATTTTATTTAATTAGCGATAGATGCCAGAATAAATAAATGTCATAGCACTTAAAAATTACATCTATAGGTTTTAAACACTTATACAGCTACAAATGGCAGTATCGCAAATTAAAAAATGGCTGTTTAAGGACAATTAAGGAAATTCAAGAGATACTGATAAGTTCAGAGAGTGGATGAGAGTATATTAATAAAACTTACAACGAATGTAATGGGACCTCATAAGATCCGGTTATTTGACAAAACCCGTTGCGAACCTACTGACAAAACTACGTCAGAATCCGCCAACTGAAGTCTAGTTACAACAAATTTCATTAATATTGTTTTTATCAATAGTAGATGCGAGTTTTATAATAATATCGAATTCCGATAGGTCATGGATCAGATACTATAGAAACAGATCATCGAGACGATTGACCCGGGAATGCAACAAACAATGAGCATAACCGGGTGCTGCCATAACCACGATAAAGCATGTGAAGACAATTAAATTTCATGATTTTCTAGAACTATTACGTTTTTCACAATGTCTTAGATTTTTTCTGAAAGACTTAATTATACTTATTTCTATCTCTCAATTCCTTTGATTTTTACTAATTGCGCAATTGATGGACTCTGCGAAAGTCATGTTATGATCAAATAATCATCGCAAACAGGGATGACATAACCATTTACCGATATGCGCTAAATTTATCAAAGAACTACCAAATCGTAAATGTTCTCCTTATAGCTAAACATTTACATTAAATTTTGTTTATTATTGTACTACCTCAGTTTCAATAACAATACAGAGCAATTCATTGATATATAACACGATAGAAGCATCTCCGATCTAACTAGCTTCGTTGAATATATTCTTGAAAATTCAGGAAGACAATGTGAATATGTTCAGCAGTATTTCATCATAACCTTCATCTGAAACGACACGATTGACGCATTCTCTTCCATAATATTGTCTTCAATGTTTCCACTTTCTGAGTTGGCAGTTTGTGAAAAAACAATAAACAGTACTTTTCCATCCTCATTCTTCTTCGCAAGATTTCACTAACATCTCATTAAATAATTGGGTAATTCCTGGTGCCTCTTCCTTTATTTCAGATATCCATCTGCACTTTTTCATGCAGGCACTAACCGTATTAAATCTCGACTGGAATGAAATCAGCAGTATTAGAGCAAAGCATCTAGCAGATGCATTACACAATAATAAGGTAAATATCATTCTCTTCATCATCTATTTTACATATCCATCTACACTTATTCATGCAGGCAATTACCACATTAAATCTCGACTGGAATAAAATCGGAGCTGATGGAGCACAGCATCTAGCAGATGCATTACGAACTAATAAGGTAAATATCATTCTCTTTCTCATCTAGTTTATATATCCATCTGCACTTTTTCATGCAGACACTTACCACATTAAATCTCGATTGGAATGAAATCGGAGCTGATGAAGCTCAGTATATAGCAGATATACTACGACATAATACGGTAACTATTCATCTCTTTCTCATCTATTGTATATATTCATCTACACTTTTTCATGCAGAAACTAACCGTGTTAAACCTGGACTGGAATCGTATCAGAGATATTGGAGCACAACATCTAGCAGTTGGACTACGAACGAATACGGTAATTAATATTCTCTTTCTTATCTATTCCATATAGCCATCTGCACGTTTTCATACAGACGCTTATCGAATTAAATCTCTGTGTCAATCAAATTGGAGATGCTGGGGCACAGGATATAGCAGATGGATTACGAGCTAATAAAGTAATTAATATTCTCTCCCTCATCTATTCCATATATTCATCTACACTTTTGCATACAGGTACTTATCACATTAAATCTCTGTGACAATCAAATTGGAGATGTTGGAGCTAAGCATATAGCCAATGCATTACGAACTAATAAGGTAATTAATATTCTCTCCCTCATGTATTTCGTATATTCGTGTGCACTTTCTTATACAGACACTTACCACATTAAATCTTAGACGGAATCAAATCGGAGATCTTGGAGCACATCGTCTAGCAGGTGTATTACGAAATAATACAGTAACTATAATTCTATTCTTTATCTATTTCATATATCTATTTGCATTTTTTCCTGCAGGTACTTACGAAGTTGAGTCTACCGTGCAATGAAATCAGCGGTATTGGAGCAAAGCATCTAGCAGATGCATTACAAACTAATAAGGTAAATATCATTCGCTTCCTCATCTATTTTATATATCCATTTGCACTTTCTTATGCAGACACTTACCACACTATTCCTGTGGAATAATCGAATGAGTGATGAACTTCGGGACGAAATCCATGAGTTCATTGAACAGAACAATAGAGTAACAAAATTATAAATGCTGGCATCGACCATATACTGATTAGTATTAGAAAAGTAGTGATGAATATTTGGACGAGTTTTTGGTTGGGCATTATCGTGACAATATATATGTATATAGATTTGTTCTATTTTATGTAATTTGTATTGGAATGATATAGATGGAATTAGTCTATATTGACATTTGTCGTCATTAAGATGGCATATTTTTTATGGTGGTATTTGTGATAATTGAGTACAAGATATACGATAATATGAAATTATATGTAGTTGTATCTCGTGTCTAAGAATGGGATGTATTTTATGAATAATGAATCGATATTCTAATTATTAACTGAAATGAATAACAGCGGGGACAAAGTGTCTTCAGAAAGAAGAAAATGGAGACGAGACATATTGTTCAATATATGATTTGTTGAGATAAAATCGTGAGATATGAAATATGATGTTGTTTAAAGATCAGAACATCTTTTGGTGTACGAATGGATGAGAGATAGAGAGTTATTAGCCTGGTTATTAAAAAGATCGCTTTAATATTATTCGTCACAAACAGAATCGTGCAACAATCAATCTTTAACTAGCGTTTGTTTTGAAATTCATGAGCACGCATGGATGATAGTTGAGAACCTGTGAGTTTATGTAGAGTTTCTTGTGATGACTGTTGAATTTTACGTTGACATCGTAATAAAGTGAAAAGAGTCGCATTACTTTTACTTAATTTATATATTTGCTAGAAAACTCAGAGTGGGGTGTGGGTGTTATATGTATCGCACATCCACATCCACACCCACACCCTCAAGATTTGGCATGATGTAGTTTTTGATTATTCGATTTAGTCAAACAAATTCCAACGAAGTCCAGATATAATAAAAATTTTATTATCCATTATACTCACGAGAGTCGACAGTCACCTACAAAAACGGACATTCATAAAATCTGGAACGACGTTTTTGCGTCAAAGACTTGTAATTCGTACTAGATTCATAGTCGGCACCAAGAATAATCCAAACATGAAAAAACGACTTTGATCTAAGTCCAACTAATCTTCAACAGATTCAACAGCACTATCAACCAAAACAAACACAATGACATCATTCCTTTTAAAACATTGAAACTTTCTCTTTTTTATTCCAAACTTGAAATAAAAAATTAAGAACTATATTTCAAACTCTTTTAGTGAAGACGAAATCATGATCACAGTAGCTTCACTCACACCCTGTATTCAACTTCATTTGGTTCCCACTATTCTTAATACCCAATCAATATCTGTCAACAGAAAAAAACAATACTCATCATCATAGTTCTCATTGTCAATCTCTTTATATTCTCTTGCTCAAACTCTACCTGTTTTTCACTTTCATCATAAAAAATAAGCCATCCGTTGATTCTTGTAGTTGAGGTGAAACTAGTCACGATAATCAGACACACTCCCAAGATATTTTTGATTTTCTTTCAATTTTATTTGATTAAGTTTCAATTATGCAGGTCATACACCATCTGATGAGATTTTAAAATGAGTCGAAACCGGTCGTGGTCCTCATATGTTCAAAACTCACCCCTATCCACACCCACCCGCAATTGAATAAAAGATAATAATACAATAAAATGGTAAGCAAAACAACACAACACACATAATAAGATAATAATGCAATAAAATGGTAAACAACACAACAAATACAATAAGATAATAATAATACAATAAAATAGTAAACAACACAACAAATACAATAAAATAATAGAAAGAAAAGCATGTAGAAGAGTTCATCAAGTCAAATACTGTCTTATCGTCTTTATATTATTCTTCTGCAAGTTTCTTTTGATATGAAAAGCTTTCTAACTAATTTGAGATAAATAAAAATGGTTTTGTAATGTTTTTGTTAAAAGTAAATTTTCTTTTAAGAAAATACTTCTCAATTGAGAATATTTTCAAAGAAAATTCAATAAAAATCATTATTAGACGCGTGTGCTTGTCTCGAGAGTCTTATTTTGGTAGCATTGTCCTGTGTTCAAAAAAATATACAGATTACCAGAGTCGTCCGTATAAACTATATCTTGATAACCATCACCATTAAAATCACCGACATTGAGTGTAACCCAAGAACCACGTGATTGATTCCAAGCCATCGTTTGCAATCCAAAATCTCCATTTCCATCTCCAACTAAAACATTTAAACCAAGGTGATCTCCAGAACAAACAACGACGTCCAAGTGGCCATCTCCATTGAAATCACCGACAGTAATTTTCGACGTTACTGATGTAGTTCCCATGTTAAATATCTTTCTTCCATTCAAAGTTCCATTACCACATCCGAATAATATACCCAGACCACCTGCATTATTATAAGAATAGACATATGAAACAGCAACGTCGAGATGACCGTCACTGTTAAAATCACCAATGGCGAAACTATTTACATAATAATAACCTCCAGCAAAATACGTTTGTTGTGCATCAAACGTTCCATTACCATGCCCAATAAATACACCAATATTTCTATCAACAAAATTTACGACAGCGATGTCTATATAACTATCATTGTTAAAATCAACTGCAACAATCCAATGTGGGTGACTACTAAAGCCAGTAGCGAAGGTTGTTTGTGCTGAAAAAGTTCTATTACCCTTTCCAAGAAACACACCAACATTATTTCCGTATTCGTTAGTAACAGCAATATCTAAGTAATTGTCACCATTGAAATTAGCTACCGTGATTTCATAAGGTTGACTGTTATTTCCGGTAGATAATGTTGTTAATGTATCAAAAGTTCCGTTCCCATATCCAAAAAAAAATCCCCACATGATTTGCATTCTGATCGATAAAAATAAGATCAAGTATGCTATCACCATTTAAATCACCAAAAGTAACACCCAATAAAGTAGCAAGACTTCCTGCTAAAAACGTCCACTGTAGTGTCAAAGTCCCATCGCCATTTCCAACCATCAAATTTACAGCATTGTTGTTAGAGATAAAAGCAAGGTCGAGTCGACCATCATTGTTGAAATCAGCGACAATGGGTGATTGTAGTTCAGGATAATCATATCCTACATCTATTTTTATTGGTTGAAATTGTAACTGACAAGATGGTACTAAAAAGAAACAAATGATGGAGTAATTTTCACTGTCTAGTCTAAAAATAATTGGAAAAGAATTTATGAGAGTAAAAAAGCAGCGAAACTCAATACATCCAGGACAAAGCGTACTTGATGCTTTACATTTCATTATCTTTAATCAAATTTTCAATCATTATAAACGTCTATACTGACCCGATACTTTATACATATATTAGTGATCACTCAATATCAAATATTTCTACGAGTTATAATGTCAACATTCACTAAGGCTTGTTAAATGAAACACTGGATTTTTTACATTTATTAAATCAGACTAATATAATTCTATAAGTTTATTGTTGAGCGTTTGCCAAAAGATTTACACTTTCGAAGAATCTTCATCTTTTTTGTTTATTTTATTAGAGCTTAATTTATAATATTCAGCATCTTTCTTGATCTATGTATTTGACTATACAATATATGCAGAACAATTCCATTATAAACAAAGAAGTATTCGTTTTTCTATTAGCGTCATCTATTCAAGCGCAAGAATTGGTTTATTGACGTGAAATAAAGATCTTAAGCGTTCTCTCGAATATGAGACCAATTATATGAGATTGTACTTAGACATCTGTTATTGTGATATAAGATTCATGTATATTATATTTAATTGAAGAGACACAGTTCGATTTTGGATATAGGAAGGGCTATTTTGTAAATAAAGTGAACTATTTAATTGTTATCCAAAGAATAAATTTCGAAAATTTACTTGAAAACATGATAGTAGTTTGATTATTGATAAAAAACACTGTCCTCTATATCTTAATAGAGAACTGAAATATCTTTGAAAATCACTTTGCACATCTACATCATCGCTCAGATAAAACTCGAGTACTGTTATATGTCGCTTATTCGAAAGATTATTGAAAAAATAAAGATAGTTTAAATAAACTCACTGGTTGCCATTGAATTTGTTGTTGTTATCGTACTTGTTGTTGTTGTTTGTGTATTGGTACTGATACTGGTTGTTCCAGTTGTCGACAACACTAATAAAGATGCATGCAACAAATATTCATTTAGACACATACAATATCTTAGGTATCAAAAACTATTTTCTACAAAATCCTTTTTATCAACATAATTGAATAAGATTATTGCAGGAAAAATTTATTTATTCGATTTAATTAAAACAGTACAATTTTGTTCTTTCGCTCGAAACTAATAGGAGTTCTGATAAAACTTCAAAAGTTCATTGGCAATCATCGGATCCACATGATCTTTACTATCTCTATTCTTCAATTATTACCATCATCGTTTTATCGAACAAATACTTGATTAAATAGGCGCAATTCACTTATAATTCACTGACTGATAAATCACTGCTTGTTTTGACAAGTTTGATTCTATTCTCATTTCGTTCTTAATACATATTTTCCATTTATCTTGCTCGACAAGGAAACAATCGAGTTATATTAACAGGTAGGATACGATTATTGACGTTTGTGATAGAATAAATTCATCGGATACATAGGAAAATATGATGAGAGCTATTATCAGAAGCATCAACAGTATACACCATAAGACGCGTTTGAAAGAACATTGAAATGGTGAAGCCAAATTTGTTCTAATGAACAGAATTATAGAATAAGGAATCAAATGAAAATAAAGAAGACATACTGTGATGTTACATCATTTAAGATTCGGTCTGCATCACTAGTAGAACTATGTATGTTTATGTTAACAGTCTGTGTGGTATTGACTGGAAGAGAATCAACAGAGCAAACAATATTCGTCCGCTTCTTTCGCCGATGATATACTTTGGCTGCAATTCGAACTATTTTTGGACAAATCCACTTGAGAACAATAGTGAGACCACCTTGAAGACCAAGTATAAGAGTTATCGTATAGAGAAGGTTAATTTGTTTGCTGTAGGTATACGAACATAACAATGGTGAACATTGTTCATAATAGGATGAATAATTAATATTTGTTGCCCATTCTTCAACAAATAGATCATTTATAAGTTCAGCTATAGTAGTATTAATTGAGAATTGACTCTTTGTTATCGCGAGAGAAATAGAAGAATTTGTCGAATTGGTATATTGTTGAATGATATTAATACATGATTGATCATAGAAACATGCGAGATTAGAAAGAAGAAATGATTCACTTGGTGTGCAACCTATTTTCAAACCTCTGATTGGAATAATTTCAGAAGAATTCATTTCAATAAAACGTGCTTGACTGGTACAATTTGGATACAGTGCACAAGAACAACCATTGTCATAGATTTTAGGTTGAGTAATTGCATAAGAGTACCATCCATACCAAGGACCAATATACTCGAAATTCGTTCCATAGCTTGATATAATAGCATTTCCATGATTTACACTTCGCGTTAAGAAATTAAGACGAGCGAATGTTGTAGGAGCACTTGATTTGCTGTGTTTAATCAGCAAATCTGTGCGTTCGTAAAAAACCGTTTCTGGTAAAAGTTGAGTGGTGACAAGTAGCGAAGATAGGAGTTGATCAACAGAGTTATTCGTTGATTCAATGGATATTTTACATAATCCTTGGAGATATTGTAAATGAGCAGACAGAAAACGACGATAATCCATTAATGTGTAGCTAGAGAGATCTAAATCAAGACCAGCTGTGAGATTCATTCGCCATTCGTCTGAAACAAATGGACTCGAACAGATCTATAGTTAATAAAAGAAAAAAGAAAGAGTGAATTTGATTGCTATAAGGAAATATACATCCTTTCAAAATAAACGGACTACAGTAATCTCTTCTTACCTCATGAAATGCGGGTTCAATTTTCACAAAGTGATTATATGTCGATGCAATCGATGAACATGAACATTTCAATTGATCACCATATTTTTGAAAGAGTTGATTATATAAATTGAAAGATGGTTGATTAAAACTTTTTGTTAAACTGTGAGGTTGAACAACACTATACAAAGTAAGAATAGCAAGTCCAATGATCATCAAGGCTATGTAAAGACGAGTAGACCATTGACCAAGACGTCTAACTGTCACTTGATCAATATTATTTCCAAACTCTCGTCGAGGGAATATGTTTAAACTAATTGATTTGGTGTACACAAGTGAAGCCACATTTCGAGTAGTCAATTTCAATTGATCAAACCATTTAAGACGAACTATAAACAAAAAGATAAATCTAATATTCTCTCTGTTCATCAAGTAAGTACAAGTCTTAGATCAAACAATTATTTCAAGAATAAAAAACTTTTCCAGTTCATGTATTAAATAGTTGTCTCAAAATCCCATCTCACAACACTCCCAAATGAAAGTGTGGATGTGGCTAGGTGCCGTATTTATATCTCACCTGCATTCTGAATTCAACAATTATTTAATAGATGTCACGTTAGATCATAAAGTACTTGTACTTGTCGTTTTTCTCATTTCCCATGTAAAAAAACGTATATGAAAAGAGTAACCGTTTCGCTATAGAATTATTTTTCTATATCGAAAAATAATCATTGAAGATCACAATCTCCAGTCCGATTATATTTTTGATTTTGTTACAGAAGAATCCGATTGAAAACACTCAATTTCTTTTACTAAGTGTATCCGATCTACTGTTTATCCACTTCAGTCAAGACTCTTTTTCCAAAGAGTTTTAGAGAAGTCAGTTTCAAAACAAATGTTTTCACTTTTTGAAGTACACATAATACTAGGATTTGAATCCGAGGTTTCCTTATTTATTTATACTATGGTAACGAAAAAAGTAAAACTTTGATGAAAATCATGCCATTATAACCGATTTTTTACATGGATCTATATAAAATATATAGAAACAAGATTCAATCTTGGTAAAATAATCAATCTCTGGTTATTAAAAAATAACTAATGAGCGATTACCTTGTTGTTGTTCTGGCTCCTGTTGTCTTTTGTTGATCATTGAAAGTAGGTAAATAATAAACTTGACAAGTAGAGGTGTAATAAGATGCAGTGAGACAATAAGACCACCAATCATGGATACTAATTTTATTATTACTCCAACAACAGAATTTGTGGGAATTGTTTGAGAATAAGTGCAGTAATTTGGGGCGCATGATTCATAAAAGTTATTATATGATGTAGATGGATTCCATTCTTCAACCATTATGTTTTTCACTATGGTGTTAATTGAAGTATTTGGAGGAAAACGACTCAATCTTGAGTCATAAATGAGAGGACTTGGATCAAACCATACTGGATATAAAACATTGGCAAAATATGCTTTTTGTATGTAATTCATTACAATTGAAAAACAATCTGAATCTGAATAGAAACATTCAAGTGTCGAAAGTTGAAGAGAATGACTAGAAGAGCAGCCAGCTATTGATCCTGGTACTATATAAGCGATCTCAACATCGACATGGTCATACACATAATCATTATTGTCGACAGCGACTGGATCTTCACAATTAGGATTTGTAGCACATATACAATTGACCTTGCCCGAATTGATACCAGTAGGCCCACTTAGGACAAATGTCACCTAAAAAACAATAAAACTTTATGTTTTCTCCTGAATCAGTTACGAAAAATTATTTTCTGTTGCAGAATTAATAATTTTTCTGAACGAGAAAATCTACCAGGATATCGTTCGTAAGAGTGTAGGTTGCGGATGTGAATCAGAACTATTCCTTCATCCAAATTCAGTCTCTCAATTTTAAGATGATTGATATAAGTGATATTAGACATTGCAATCATTATATGACAACTAGAGAGATAGAGAAGTGTCGACTCTTACTCACCCTAAAAATTAGACCATTTTAGCTCTTGTTTTTATAAGACTGTTCGAAATATGAGAAATAATCAGCTAACTTTCCAGTTGCTCTGGTGTTATTCCAGTTATTTACTGCTTTAGCCGTTCCTGTTCACTTTCTATGTTTGTTTTCGCTATTGTTAATGCAAACAAATAGAGTGTAATGAATGAACGCTCATGGACATAATCACAAATTTCTCACCCCAAGAACTACCGAGGTTTATTTAAGCCACCGAATTTATCTATATTGATAAAATGCAATAATAATACATTCTAACTCTATCAAAAGAGAACTATAATTCTGAAAAGTCAATCTTCACTGTCAATTAGGTATCACCTGCAATGCTTTTAACTACGTTCATTTGAAGATAATATGAGAAAGGAAATATATATAAAAATTCAAAAGAAAATCTTTGAAGCTTCTGGACGTACCTTCAATGTTTGGTTATGGATCTCATTTTGCTGTGTACTTAGAATTAAATTTGGGAAGAAATTCGTCGCGCCATTTTGTATTAATCCCACAAAAGGCTGATCAACTTGCAGAAAAAGATTTACTGTATCAACAAGAAATGCGAAACGGACAATTGTTGATTGGAAAAGTTGATTGAGAGTTGCATTTAATTGTGTATTTAAATCAATTTCTATCAATGCAGTTGAAGCAATAAACGTTTGTAAGAGAAAGCGATGGATAGCATCATCGATCATGTTATTAGCTAATTGACAAAGATTCGACAACAACAGAAGCTGTCCGTTAGCTATATTACGCCAATCGCTAGATATATAAGAATTTGTGCCTTTTCCCATAATTACGAGCCAACGAGCCCCAACAAAATCACTTGAACATATTTGGTGCAAGATTGGAGACAATGAGACAAATTTCTGATAAGGTATTGCTACAGTTGAACAAGGACATTTGAGTGTATCTGGATGTACGGCTTGCAAATCGTTAAAAATGCTTAATGATGGTTTTTTTTACAGTTATGGTAACTGTTTGAGTACTCAATGAAGTAAAGAGAAGAAGAATGAGAAATGACCCTGGTAATAGAAAAAAAAGACATATGTATCAATAGGGATATATCTTGTACGATAAGACTTTGTATAGAATTGAACTCTCACCTACCTTCACATCCTCAAGATATACAACAAGAAAAATGTGTACCTGCAAGAACGCATACTCTATCTGTTTTTATCGATAAATTACTCGTACAGTCTGAAATAAAAAATGATTACTCACAGCCAACACACTTTTTGTTATCTTTAGGGATAATAGAAAAAAAAAATGCAATAAAAGTAATCTTACCAGTTAGTAAAATCAGATATACACGTGTGATAATCTTCTGTTGTTTAATATTATTTTCTGTTCGTTCATTAGCCACCTTAAACAAGTTTAATCGCTTTACCGATTCAATAAATTTATATATAAATGTATTTTGGGCTCCTACAAATTATACATAAAACAGATCTAGGATGAATCTATTTTCAGTTGATTCAAGACATACCCAAATTAACATTTGCGTTTCTTGGACGATATCTTAATTTCATTGCACTGCTAATCAAGAATGGTGCAATTAAACGAAATATGACAATGAGACCACCATACAGACTGATGGACAAAGTAATTGCATAAGTAAAATCGTTCCGATCTGTTGTAGTATATGTGCAGTATGAAGCAGCACATTCATCAAAATATTTTGAATAATTCATTTCTATTGACCATTCTTCAATGAAAAGATCATCCAGATAATCTATTACAGAAGCATTTTGTTGTTTTGAAGTTAGAACAGAATTGGTCCAATTCAATTGTATCTAAACAAAAAGAATTATGAAAGAAAGATGAGATAATATGAAACACACTTGATTAAGTGCTGGAAAGTAATTGAGCAATAACTGAATACATGTCACATCATACAAACAATCAAGTGTACTTTGAAGAATACTTTCAAGAGGTGTACATCCTCCAAAAAAACCATCGACCATAATAGTGCCAGGACTAGGCAAATACCACCATTGATGAATCTCATATATCCATACCGTTGAATATTCAAAGAAACCAGCTGGAGTTATTGGATTTGTATTACTACAAGCAACATGAGAGTCTGGTTTATCAGTATCACTAGAATATGGACTATAGAATGTTGTGGATCCCATAATTCTGTATTCACTTGAAAATACAAAAAATCCCATCACTGCATTTGTATTAAGAGCTGAGATTAAGTAATTTGCTCGAGTTATAATTCTGAGATAGTTCAAAAATGAAATAATTCCAGCAGAGGCACTGTTTTTTAAGAAGCCAACAGTACCATTTACTTCAGTTTGAACTTGCACTTCAGGAAGAAGAGAAATAGTAATATATTCATTATTACCAATATCGATCTGATTTTCGAAGACTGTATCCTGGGAAAGTGAACAAAAACTGGCCAAAATTTCGAACTAAATAAAGAAAATGTCGGTTAAAATGATTATTTCTGAATTTTATTACTAAGGATAAGATATGTGATTGATTGATATTCATCTAACAAGGACTTCTATTAGTTTCATGTAACTTTGGACACTGAACGTTTTGCTCTATGTTTTATTGATAAATGTAGTTCGACTCTAGGCAATCTTATCAACTGAATCTGATTTAAACAAAGCAACTAGAGAAAACTATGTTAAAAATAAATGAGTGATACTTTCGAGACTGAATAGTATTTAAGATATACAATCATTGTCAGATAGGACCTTCTATACTACACAAATCTTACTAGTTCAAGAAAAAAATACCTGAGAAATTTCAGTTCAAACGACATGTTATTCGAGTCCTGGTCGGCAATAGTTTCTTGAAAAGAACATTCTCATTTCCAATGGGGAACACAAAAGATGAACCAATAACAGTACTGAATGATAAGAACATATGTAAATCTATTGACTATTTGTAACAATCTATAAGGAATTCGTGAGAAGTTACAACTGTCGACAAGGGTATATCAGAGGAGTAATACATTCTCTCTGAGTTTATGTTTGGTAATAGTCAGACTCTCATCCAATCATCCAGCACAAGCTTGCTCTGGCTGAACTAGCTAAAACTATTAGTACACTCGTGTAGACACTAGCAGAAGAAATTGAATTATTTCATACTTGACTTTTTAAAACTACTATGTAATTCATATTCGTCATCTAGTATTCTTCAGTTTCAAGTGTTGTTCAAGAACAAATATTTGCCGTACCTGAGACATAGCCGTTGTTCGAAAATCCGGTGGCGTATATGTACTTGCATTTGGGTTATACAATGCTTGAATCCATTGCTGACTAACGAAAATACTTGAACAAATAGGATGAAATATGATTTCATTTGAAACGAAATCTTTGAAAAGTATTGCATTTGTCGTACATGGACACGATAGAGTGTCACCATGATCAGCATAAAGTTGATTAAAGATGAGAGGAGTAACTTTCGAAACAGTGATCGTTTGAGATTGTGGCTCCATCAATGCAATGTAGAAAAGAACATAGAGTGACACTAAATGATTATAAAAATTGATTTAGATTCATGGAAGTTCTAATAGAATTGTTTTCTATACATTCTTATTTGAAATTTTCCTTAGAGTACTCGTATCTATATATGGTTTAGTGACAGAATACCATACGAAGTGTAATAAGATGCCAAAGATCAAGATTCATTAATTGAAAAACAATATCAACGAAAACTATAATATTGCATGGTTTCAACGGTTAAATACTTTCATCTTCTACATTTTTTATTATCTACTTTTGAAGATCTATGGAATCTATAACTAATTATATTTACATGATGAGACAACTAGAAACATGAAGATCTTTCAGATAATTCTGACAAACGAGAGGAAAGATAATCATCAGTTGTGTGAATAAAAAGCCAACTCAGTAAATAGCTTTTTTAAGAACTTTTTAGATTTTCTCTGTTGAAGAAAAATATTGAAAGCTGATGTATTTACTGTTGTTCGATTTTTTCAGCTCTTATTTCTCATTTTTCTATTAAAAGATCTTACTCAGGAGAATAATTCTAACTCCCAAATCCGTATAATCCTACGAAGTAACCTGAAGAAAACCATCGAAAGTCTCTGGAAAATGGAAGCAGTATTTCGATCCGTGAATCGTCGGATTTTCCGACTAACTTCCGCTTCCTTCTGTCCAGAAACTGCCGAAAATCGTCGGAAAAATCTGACATTTTCCTGGGCAAAATACTGCTTCGATTTTCTAGGAGATTTTCGGTTTATTTCTGCAGGATCCATTATTTTCTCATGGGAGCCGGTCCGTACTTTTCGACCTGAGTGTATTAAAACAATTTATATTCTTCAAAGTATGATGCATGGGATGCAATAATATCCAGCCACTCGGTCTCGATCAGTCTCAAGGTTGGGTGATTCCAGACTTGGCTGATCTCGAGCATTCTTAGTCTTGCACCTCCGCTCTCCCGGTCGAAAAATTCGGCCCGGAAGCGTTCGGTTCGAGAACCCTCCGGCGATTTCATGGAGGCAAGATTCCAAACCGGAATCGTCGGACAATTTCCGTAGGTTTATAATTATAATTCAATAGAATATTTTGGAAACATCCGGAGAAAAACCCTAGAATTTCTGCCCATTATCCTACATTAGAAACCCAACGAAAATCAACACATCCTAAACCAACTTTCTTCAGTACTCATTATTTTCAGAAGCAAGCATTTGCTTTAGTTGAAACTTTTAGGTTCATAAAAGGATCATAAGATCGATATTTGGGTAGAATCTCATAGCAAAACTCGCTTATTTGATTTTTTTTCAATGAATCTATTGGCATAGGTGGTAGAAATGACAAAAAGCCACAATTTGAGAAGGAAAACCAAAATGAGCCTTTATTCTTTTAGAGTTTTTCCGTTCTCATCATACTCTACTTCTGGGCAGAATCTCAGCTCACAAACATTGAAACACTTCGGGCGGGTCTCTCATTAGCCTTAATATCGACAGCTGCCGATCTTCTTTACCATTAATCAAGATATTGCTCTTGAAGATGTGGCTTGATGGAAAATGGATATGTTGTCAAGATTCTCTCTTACATACACTGTCATCCGCATACTCACATACTAAAAGGCGAGAACCCAAAAAACTTCGCTGTGACCGAGGTCGAAACTTGATCGAACCTGAGCCGAGGAGTTTCGGTTTTTGGTAAGGATCGGCGCATTCCCAATAGTATATATTCGTCAGTACTCTTGTAAATAATGCATTTATTCTCAATCCTGTAAAGATGAGTTGGGAACACGGAAATTCGGGTGTTTGTGCGGTGTCTGATTGGTCAATTTTTTGAACTAGTTAGATTTCATTATCATAACATCAAGCATTTCTTATAACCTGAGAGTGAGTGAAATCAGTAAAAGTGGATGAGGTAAGGTAGGAGTCGGTGGGAGCGGGTGAACTGGGTGAAATAGTGTAAGAGTGAGTGTATTTGGGTGAAATAGTGTAGAAGTGGGTGAACTAGGTTGAAAGTGAATGGAGATGGGTGAAATAGGATAGAAGTGGGTGAAATAAGGTAGAAGTGGATGGAAATGGGTGAGCCAGGTTAAAAGTGAGTGAAGATGAGTGACATAGGTTAAAAGTGGGGGGGGGGGGAACAGGATAGAAATGAGTGGAATGAAGTAGAAATGGGTGGGTGTTGGTAGGAATTGATAAAACAGGATATAAGTGGGTGAAATAGGATAAGAGCGAGTGGAAGGGGTGAGAAAATGTGAGAGTCGACGAAATAGATTCGAAGCGGGTAAGAGAGAGTGAAAATGGTGGCGAGTGCGTGGCATAGAGGTAGAGTGAGCGGTGTAGGTTTTAAGCGCACTGTTGATAGTTGGATTCCCTTTTGTGAAAGACACTCTTATTGATAGAATCTGTCGTGCATTTTGCACCGGTCTCTGCTAGTGTGTTCCTATAAAGGTATGACCATCGTTTGACAGAATCACTAGTAGATATTAACACCTTGATGTTGGCTGAATTCATGGATGGCGTTAGAAACCGAGATGTATGGCGTAACTACCGATGGAGTTATAGCAATTGGAAGAGAATCAGTCAACCTACGGAAAGATTCGTGACATGTGTTTCTCATTGATGTTTCTGGAAGAAACTCTGTGTGGTAGAGTAGATGAATTTTCTTGTGTCGCGAGCGTCTTTTTTATTTACCGAAAGCAGAGCATACCAACACGACTTGAGTAGTTTCCCTATAATAACATTTTTTCAGTTGCTTAAACTCATTATATCATGTGCTTAGTAGTCTAACGTTGTCATTTTTGCAGTACATGTACTGTTCCTTTCAGGATTGAGTCGAGCGAGGTTTAAGGGATCGACGCTTTCCTTGTTTTATAACTCAGTCATAGTTAAACAAAAATCAAAGGTATTTATATTCATAGTCGATCTATATAAATAATCTGTATTCATGACAAGAATCTCAGACTTTGTTTTTAGTAATGATAAATTACAGATGTCATAGTACAAAAAACATGAAATTTCCTAACGCTGGTTAAGCTCCTATATAAATTCCTGCTTGTTTTGTGCAACAACATGTAAAAAATATTATGGAACATTATTATTCTAATATTAAAAAGTTCAATAATGATATGAGATGAAAAAATTTCTCTGATTTTTCGAAGAGAATTTCTACCATTGTTTTTCTTTCAAAGACATTTTAAGGTTTTCTAATATCACAAGATGACAGTGATCACCCAAACCGATAGAATTCTCCAAGAAATGTGTTCACAGGAGCACTCATCCTATTCTGCGATGCTGCACATTCGGGAGTCATTCCGCCCGCGACATCAGTTACACTGATTCCGCAATTCAGTCGTGTATGGAACGGAATAGCTTTGCAACTCAAGACAGTACGTAAGGGGGAAGTGTTAGGGTTTGATTCCGTCACGCAATTCCTAAATTCGTAGGAATTAGGTTCTAGAAATTCTGGAATTCGATGAAAGGGTCATTAGACGGAATTTCGGATTCGAAGAAACGGATTCTGGGGAGAAACTAATTCCTGCAATGTGCAACATTATGGAATAGGATGTATTCTTTAAAGAAAAAAACTTGCATTCATCTTACCCACAAGGAGAAGAACATACAACCAAGTCGAATATTTTTGATGTTCACGAACAGTTGCTTGGTCCCTTGGTTCTTCATCATATTCGTCTTCCTCTGGCATAAATGCATTGTAATTCCTCATCAGCTCATAAGACCAACCAAATAAACGTTTAAGATTCATCGTCAGAAATAAATGAAATATTTGTCTTATAATTTCCGAGATAATTTGAATACTTTGTTCTACAAGAAAAACTTTTTCAAACAACAATAACGAACTTACTATAAAATCGACATAAAATTCTTTAAAGCAATTCAATTATAGATAAAGAAAGAACATTTCATATAAAAACTCTGATCAGCTCTTTCATAAAAGATAAAATGAAGTTCTTGGAAAAGAGACAAGCAATCTTTGAAAAGAAAGAAAGAAAAAGTATCACTCTTATATCATTTTTTAATTATAAATAATTCTTCATATACCATAAGTCAGTTCTTTTTTTAAGAAAAAAAAAAAGATATGAATTCCTGACTTTTGATTAAGGTAGGGTTGCCAGATGAACAACTCAAAAATCAACATTTTTTTCAAAATGAGGAATGAATCAGTAAATGTGATATTTGACAAGCCCAATAGTTTCATGGTATCATGTTAGTGTAAAGTAAAGTGCAGGCAAGTCAAACTTGAAGTAAAAATCGTTTTTTTGACTTTTTTCACATAATCTAGTAGAATCTGAGCTGTTGATCACGAAAATCTACTTTTTACCTCATCCAAATGTTTTTTCTGGTCGAAAAAAACGTTATTTTTCCCGAAATGTTCAAAACTTTCGACTTTACTCTATCTTTTTGATCTTGCAGACAACTTTTTCAGATTCAGCACCACAAGCAGAGTTTAGAGAAGTTTCTAAACTTATTATAAATCCAAAACTGTATTGGTGGCAGTACTTCGAATCACCTCGAGTACATAATGTATAGATCGATTTTGTAAACGTATCTAGTCTTGCTACGTAAATGACTTGCTACGTAAATGATAGAGTTAAATGTTTGATCACATTCGAATCACCATATCACCTTCTATCACCTTACGAATTATTTTTTTCTCTTTTTCTTTCTCTGAGCAGAAAAATCGTTTTTACAAGTAGGATAGGGTAAGTGGGAGGGTCATCTTTCAATAAACTGGCTGTTTTCATTGAAACGTAGTGAAAATTAGTTCAATCAGGCAAAAACTGATAGCGAATTGAATAGATATATTTTTAGGATCTTTGATGGATCTCTGAAAAATTCTTTTCTGAAAATAGCATGGTTTTATAATATTAATGGGTATTTTATCATTTTCAATGATACAGTAATCAGTCTTCACACTTGGTTATATAAAATGACCGAATGCACGCTGGATTCAATTTTTAAAATAGGAGACAATACGTCCATTAAGATTCGTTAATATTTTTGAGGGTGTGAGTATCTCTACTCCTAACACACACCTACGCCCTCGAAACGATCGTCGTAAGTAGCTTAGAATTATCTTATAATATACCTATGCACACCCACACCCTCAAGATGGTTTTTCTAGTCCCTCTGGATTCTATATGTAGGCAAAATATCAGCTAAACAGTTCCGAATTACTTCGAACCGTTCCCTTCTTAGTGCAACAAAGTTTTCGAGGAAAATTAATTACTTCTATTTATGTCAGGTTTCACTTAGTTTATGACGAAAATTAAAATATTAGACAGGCATGACTTCTATACGATCATAAAACTGCATTTCACATCTGTTAAGTCCGAATATCTATTGCGTTTCTCTTTTCTCCCAGGACAAAAAGGCATGACTGCTATATGAGCATAAAACTGCATTGTACATCTGTTCTATGTACGCATATCTATTGCATTTCTCTTTCCTTTAAAAGTAAAAGGCATGACTTCTATATGATCATAAAACTTCATTTTACATCTGTGAAGTCTGAATATCTATTGTGTTTCTCTTTTCTTGGAAAGTAAAAACGCATGACTTCTATATGAGCATAAAACTGCATTTTACATCTGTTGTGTTTTCTTCTAAAATAAAAAGACATGATTTCGATGCGATCTTAACATTGCATTTTACATCTGTTAAGTCCAAATATCTATTGCGTTTCTCTTTCCTTTGAAAGTAAAAAGACATGACTTCTATATGATCATAAAACTTCATTTTACATCTGTTAAGTCCGAATATCTATTGCGTTTTTATTTTTTTTTTAAATAGTTATAAGTAAAATACAGGAATAATGAGGACGCAACAGGATTAGAGAAGATACTGACAACAGAGTTTTATTTTTGCTGTTTTTATTGAAATATTCTTCTAGAAATAAAGAAAATGAAAGCTCAAGCATTTAAAATCAAAAGATTGATTCACAATACTCTTTATTAGAGGAAAATCTTAACTACACCATATGATGCTTTATAGCGTTTTCCAGGAAATTGAGTGAATTTTAAATATCAAATGAATTTCTGAAAATTAAATCTGCTCGTTTAAGAAATTGAACAGTTCAAGTAGCTATCATTGGCATAATGTAGGTGTGAACAGTTACCATAGTCTATAGATTTCACGTCAGCAACGACGATCATCAGATGGCAAATATTCCAAATGATTAATGAAAATATAAGAATGAATTATATCTTGAGATTGTGGCTCTTGCTTAAGACAAAACAAGAGTATAGTCAGACCCACACTCACATCCACATACACCGACATTCACCCACACTCACACCCTAGCTGATGTATTACGAACTAATACAATAATTATTATTCTCTTCCTTATCTATTTCATATATCCATCTGCACTTTTTCGTACAGACACTTAACATATTACATCTAGAGCGCAATCAAGCCGGAAATGTTGAAACACATCATCTAGCAAATGGATTTTGAAATAATATGGTAACTATCAGTCGCTTCCTCATGTATTCCACATAGCTATCTGCACTTTTTCATACAGACATTTAAAGAATTAAATCTCGATTCGAATGAAATCAGGGATATCGGAGCAAAGCATCTAGCAGATGAATTACAAAATAATACGGTAATTGTCATTCTCGTCGAGATTTAACATCGTTAGTGTCTGTATGAAAAAGAGTAGATGCATATGTAAAATAGATCACGAAGAGAATGGAATCAGTTGCGGACTCAAGAATGAAATCGATGAGTTCGTTGAACAGAACAAAAGAGTGGCAAAATTATAAACACTACTAGCGATGATATAAAGGGTGTGGGTGGGTGTTACATGTATCAGAAATCCACACCCACTCTCAAGATGGTTTTACATTGAATGAAATCTTTAAAAATTGCTTTGTATTTTCCATCATTCCTGTATATATTTAGTTTCTTTGTTTAAATTTAGAGAAAAAAAATTTGATATTATTTTATTTTTTTACTTAAAAAAGTAAATTATTTCTATAGGTTAAAACATATTTTCATTTAAAAGTAAATGGTACAATTAAGTTAGTTTATTAAAGATTGAAAGAGAGTCAACATGGCTATTTTTCACTTTCCACTATTGACATAGAAACAAAAGCATGATAAAAATTATGGCGTAGTTAATATGTTCTGGGATCGATTCCAATATGTAATGGTGAAAGGGATCGAGCTCGATTATTAGCTTCTGTTCGTCGAGATACAGGACTTGGACTACGACGACGACCAAGTGCTGAATGGGTGGCTGGTTGATGATGATGGTGCTGATGCTGATGCTGATGACGGTTATTATAGGGAGGTTGTTGTTGTTGTTGTTGAGGAATATTAGGAGATTTTGTTGTAGAAGATGGTAGTTGAAGCATAGGAACTACCATAGTTGGTTGAACAACAGTAAGAAGACGTTCTAATCGAGCAGTTATCTCATAATCAGGTACAGATAATGTTTTAGCATCTAATCCAAGCATACGAGCTATTAAAGCACGAAAATCAAGTAACTAAAAATAAACAAAAGGAGAAGTTTATAGAAAAAGAAAATATTTTTGTTATACTTGTTGTTCTCGTTCAGTAACTTGTTGAAGTGAACCTTTGAGAAATCTTAATTCATTTGATAATGTTCGTACTGCATTATCAGATGATATTAATGTTCGATTCGTATCATCATCAACTATATGCATTCTATCTTGTAAAGTTGAAATTTTAACAGCTTGTTTATCACGTGTATTTTCTAATTGACTTATAGTTTCTAATAAACGACGAATTTCTTTTTCTCGTTCGACTAATCGACCCTAAAATAATATTTCAAAATTCAAAGAAATTTAAATTAAAAATAATTATTACTTTAAGTGTATGACCATCTGTATGTTGTGATTTTAATTGTGTATTTTCATTTCTTAACTCATTAACTTGTTGAGTTAAACTTTCAACTTTAAGTTTCATTTTACGTGATAATATAACATGATCATCAATTTCATGTTCTAAATCTGTTTTCGCTGAACGACCTTCTTCTAACGCAAGAACTTTTTTTCTTAATAAATCTAAATGTAAATCTTTATTTTCCATTTGTTCTTTTAATTGTTGAATTTTTCTTTGTAAATTATATGTCGATGTTTTTTGATCAATTATTGAATTATTTTCAATTTTCATTAATTGTTCTACACGTTGTAAAAGAACATCAGGATTTAATTCATAACCAAGATCATTTGAAATATTTTCAATTTTCATTATTGATCCAAGTCGTTCAAGAAAATGATGAAATTTTGCTTTATCTTGTTTATGACTTTCTCGATAAACTTCAGCTGTTGTACAATTCATATTAAGTGTTTTAAAACGATTTTCTAATTCATATAAATGTGTTTCGGTATGAGCTCGTTTTTTATCTACTTCTTTATTTATATCAATTTGTTCTTGTAATTGTTTAGCTAATTGTTCTTTTTGATTTTGTAGATTTGTTATTATCTTATAAAGAGAAATTCACATTTTAATTGAATCCAAAAAACAAATTTAACTTACAACGCCTCGATCTTTACTTGATTGCATTAATAATTGAACTTTCTCTTTAATTTCATCTTCTTTTGGTTCAACTTTAACATAACCATCAGATAATAATTGTCCAATTTGTTGTTTAAATGCATCAAAACATGATTTTATATAAACAACATCATTTTCTAATTGTTTCATATGTAATTCATGTGATGAATATTTATTTTCACGTTGATCTAATTCACCACGAGTATTTTGCCAAGCTTTTTGAATTGAATCAAGACGTGATTTAACTGTTTCAAGTTCAGTTTTTATTGTTTCTTTATCATGAAGTGCCGCATCACGTTCAGCTTTTATTGTATCAATTTGTAAACGATGATTTGCATTATAATGATCATAGGATTGTAATCGATTTGTCATTTGTTGAATTGTTGCACGATTTGTTTCATTTTCTTTTTCTAATAGTTTACTTGCATCTTCAATTTTAATCATTTTACCTTTTAACAATGTATTTTCAGCATTGATATCAGCAATCTATCATAAAAGGGAAAAAAAAGAAACGTTTTTGTAAACATATTCTTTGTGAAGATCGAATACTTTATTGTTAAGGGTAGGACATGTCCATATTAGTTCCGTTCTTGGGAACTGTTTAATAGTTCTTTTGAAAGGAACTGAACTTTATCAACAGTTCTTTCTGAGAAACTGGTCGGTTTCAAATCTGTTTCTATTTCCGAAAAACTAGTTTTCAGACAGTTCAGTTCTTTGAATAGAACTGAACTGTACTAACAGTTCAGTTCCTTTCAGAAGAACCGAACTGGTAGTTCTTTTGACCAGTTCATCCGAACTTGGAACTACGAACTGTCCTACCCCTATTTATTGTAGAAATTCTTATATGATTATATAAGAAATATATTTATTCACACAATCTAACTTTATGTAAAGAGATCTCTTTAGAAGAAAAGTATCATAAAGTCAATAATACATATGACCTTGGATAATATATATTGACAAACGAAACAACTGGTTTCGTTTTTTCAATTTTTGTTCATTTTAATATAATAGAAAATTTTATTTTATTCTTACTCTGGTCATAACTGTTTCAAATGAAGCAACACTTGGTTGTCCATAATCATGTCCAAGTGTAACACTTAATTGTGCGAATAATTCTTGTAATTTTTTATGTAAAACATCCATTTTTCGTTCACTTGCTTCTCGTTCTTCCATATGTGTTCTAAATAAAGATTTGTTACGAAGGGAAAAACAAAACTAGAATATTTTTCTCAAATATACCTTATACGTGCTTGCAATTCAAGTAATTGATCTTGTTTTTCTTTTGCATCTTTTTGCATTGATGATATAGTCAATGTTGATTTATTAGCAACAGAATCATATGAATTAACATTTGATTCTAATTCACGGACACGTAAACGTATTTGATTATTAGCTTGGCTAATTAAATCATGTTCTCGTTTTATTGAATCATTTTCATTTTTTAACTCATTGATACGTTCATCTTTAGCAGCCAATTTTATTGTTGTTTCGCGTAACTATAATTTACAAGTTAAGTTAAATAAATAAATAAAAAGAATTAATTACGTCATGAGTTAATCCATCAATTTTCATTCGACATTGATCAAGTTCACGTCGAGCTGCTGCAAGAGATGTACGATCTAAACCAGATAATGCGTCATATCGATCTGGTTCGAAATGAACATGTTTGTTTGCATCTCTTTAAAAAGAAATATGAGCATGTATAATAATTTTAAAAAAAAAATTTATTTTAATAAATACTTCATTGATGTTAATTCCTGAACAAGAGTATCTTTATTTGCTAAATCTTTTTTTTAATAAACGTAGTTGATCTTGTAACTATAATTATATATTAAACTAAGATTTCATTTATTATCAAAATTATATTTACATCAGCTAAAGCTTTTTTAGATTCAGCACTTTCTGTAGGACCAGTTCCGTTTCCAAGGTAACTAAAACTTGTAGATGTGGTTGTATATGGTAACTGACTTGACATGCCATATGATCCAAGATAAGCATTATATTGGGGTTGCGCCGTAAGTGGAGCATTGGAATTTGCGTCAATTATAGCTCTTGCTGAACCGAGAAGTTCTCGTTCGAGCATATAACTTGATGATGTCATTATTTCAACTAATTCAAAGTATGTACGTCAAATTAATATGTTACTTATAGTATACAAATATATACTGCCATCATTTAGGTTCTTAAACTTAGTGAAGACCTTCGCTCAAATTCATTTCATATAATAATTATAAAAAAAAGAAAGTTTAATTATGTAATTCAATTAAAATTTATATTTATTACAAATGAAAGTAAATAGAGAAATATATATTTGCCTAAAATGCATAAGTGTGTTATGTATATGAATTAACCAATGAAAAATGAATACGAGCTTAGTAGTCATCGTTCGTCTGTTATCATTAATGTTGTTGTCACTTTTTTTCTTACATTCAAAATAATTTTAAAACTATTTCTGGTATTTTTTATACCTACTGGTCAGAATCCATAAAATATGAAAACCTATGTAATATATTATTTGTCCTTGTCTTGGCGCAGCAGCAATCAAGCATCACTTCTGTTTTTTTCCGTTCTTTTTCTTGCGTATTGACATAGTTTTACCTCTAACATACACCACATGAAGGTATGTTTTCTTGTAAATTACAAATATTCTTTCGTATATAATTCTATGCCATATTAATTATTATACGAAATAGATGAAAGAACTAATAAATAAGATTCGATTAAGTTGTGGTTGTTATTGAAATACCAAATTGAATTCTAATAAATATTTTTTTTTTAATATTCTAGATGAAGCCGACTATTTAAACAAATTTATCTTAATCGTTCTAGTTGAAATAAAAATTCAAATTTTTGAATAATGAATATTTACCGATCGTCTCATATATTTATTTTTCTTTTCACTATCTTAACATTTATTCATTGTGATGAACATGATCATAGAGTATGAAAATAAATTGTTTTTTTTTGTTTTGTTTCTAATTTTTTTCTTAATAATTTAGTATGAAGATGGTAGTGAAGTTGTCTTATGGATGAATACAGTTGGCCCATATCATAATCGACAAGAAACATATAATTATTTTTCATTGCCATTTTGTCGTGGAACGAAAAAAGAAATCTCACATTATCATGAAACTTTAGGTGAAAATATTTTAGGTGTGGAATTAGAATATAGTGGAGTTGAAATCAATTTTAAACGTAAGACAAAAATTACTTTTTGAATATTTTCATGTCATAAAAATTTTTATAGGTGATAAAACAAAAAAAGATATTTGCGAAGTAACGCTAACACCGGAATTTTATGATGAATTCACATATGCAGTTAAAAATCATTATTGGTATCAAATGTTTATTGATGATTTACCGATCTGGGGTTAGTTAAATTTTTCTATTGATTATATCGATAAATCTTTTTTGTTTCGTAGGTATTGTTGGTGAAATGGATGAATCAGGAAAGTCTGCATATATATGGACACATAAAAAATTTGAAATTGCATATAATAATGATCGAATAATTGATGTTAATTTAACATCGGAAGCTAAAACACGTTTACAACCAAATATGCAATTAACATTTACATATGAAGTTATATGGAAACCATCAAATATACCATTCGTAAAAAGATTTGATAAATATCTTGATCCAGGCTTTTTTCAACATAAAGTAAGAATATATTGATTTTTTGTTTTTGCTAAAAATTTACTTTAGATTCATTGGTTTTCAATATTTAATTCATTTATGATGGTTTTATTTCTTGTTGGACTTGTTAGTATGATTTTATTACGTACATTACGAAAAGATTATGCTCGATATGGTAGAGATGATGATTTAGATGATATGGTAAATATTTTTTAAATAAGAATAAGATTGAATTCTATATTTTCTTCTTAGGAAAGAGATTTAGGTGATGAATATGGTTGGAAACAAGTTCATGGCGATGTTTTTCGTCCACCAGCACATCCAATTTTATTTGCATCATTAATTGGTTCAGGTTATCAAATAGCAACAGTAGCAATACTTTGTATTTTAACAACAATTGCATTTGATCTCTATACAGAGTAAAATAAAATAAAAGAATTTCTGTTTTTTCCTATTTTATTTTTTAGGCGTGGATTACTTTTTAGTACAGCGATATTTTTATATGCTGCATCGTCTGTTGTTAATGGTTATGCAGGTGGAAGTTTATATGCACGAATGAAAGGACAATTATGGATAAAACAATTAATCGTTGGAGCGTTTCTTGTACCAGCTATTATTTGTGGTGTAGCATTTCTTGTTAATTTTATTTCAATTTATTATGGATCATCACGTTCACTTCCATTTACGGTTATGGTTAGTTAAAAAAAAAACCTTTTTTTATATCGTTTATATATATAATTGAATTTAGTTAAGTGTAACAGCAATTTGTCTATTCATAATTTTACCATTAACTGCAGTTGGAACTGTATTAGGAAGAAATATAAGTGGAGAACCAAACGATCCATGTCGAACAAATGCAGTACCACGTCCAATTCCGGAAAAGAAATGGTTTGATGAGAATTTTCTTCTTCTTTTTCTGATGTAAAATATTTTCATTAATTAGGTTTATGGAACCAAATGTGATTATATTTGCAAGTGGAGTATTACCATTTGGATCAATTTTTATTGAAATGTAAATTGATATTAAAAAGAAATTTTCTATAAAGAATTCACTTTTATTTTTCTTCTTTATAGGTACTTCATTTTTACTTCATTTTGGGCTTATAAAGTAAAAGAATTTAATTAAAATTGATAAATCATTGATGTTTTGTTTAGATTTATTATGTTTATGGATTTATGTTACTTGTATTTTTAATACTTGCCGTTGTTACTGTATGTGTAACAATTGTTGCGACTTATTTCATGCTCAATGCAGAAGATTATCGATGGTAATATTTTTATTATATAAAAAGAGATTTTAATAGTTATTCTATTTCATAATATTAAATGTTCAAATGAATAGAATCATCCGAAAACAGTTTTAAAAGCCCGATATTTTTCCTACATCTATTACTAGATACAGTTCTGAACAGAAGGCTGATGTGACTTAGAGCTCTTCCGCTTACGAGGGAACGTTCTCAGGTGTTGGTCTCAGATTTCAATTATTTTCTGGCCCATAAGTAGTATGTAGAGTTGATATTCGTTCCTTCAAAGGTTATGGCGATTTTACTAAATTTTCGACCTGGTCCTAGGTATAGAGCGGAAAAACCTAAATAACGAATTTCGAAGTGAAACTTCGCCCATAGATAGATATAATGATCCTAAGAATATCCTGAAAGTTTCAGCCAAAAAGAATCGTC